GAAAGCTTCAACACATTCATATAAATCAGTTTCTTAGGTAAAATAATCTCAGCTTTCTGAAAAAAAACCATTAAGTTTTTTCCGCCTACAGAGTTATTAAAATTGAATTTATAACCTAAAAAGTATTTTTTTCCCGTTGCGCACAATTTTTCCAATATTTTTTCCAAAAATCTGAGAAAATTGTACATAAAATGTGTAAGTTCTAAATTGAGATATCCATAAAAATGTTTACAAAAAAAAAAAAAAAAATGTAAAAATTCATACAATAGGAAAAAACAACAACATTATTCAATTAGTTGAAATAATGATATGTCAAAATTAGATCATTTTCCGTTTTTTTAATATAATAAATATGATTTTTCTATATTTACAAATATAGTTGAGCTTATATAATAAGCATAACCATTAATTATCTTAGTTAAAGTTTATGAATATCCAAATTTGGTATTTAATTGTTTTATTTTGTTATAATATTATATCCTGTCAAGTATCAAATGCATCGTTGAACTTACTTGTTCCATATTAAAATTATCCATGGGATCGATATAAAGACACTCATGTCCTGAAACGACATTCAAAGAACTAACTAGCAAAACAGATAAAATATGCAATCCATTGAACTTCATTGTATTACGGTGTAAGTAGACACGTAAATTGAATACTATTAAATAAAATAAAAATATAACAGTTATATTACTTGGTAGACAATTATTTATTTTTTAGAAGTATAAAAAACCGTAGCTCGATCAAAATTTTCAAGTTTTATAATTATTTTCATCGTACAATAAAAAAAAAGAAAACACTAATAGAATTGTATATTATGTGTAGTGAATGAAATGCAGTCAGTTAGCATCGAATTTAGATGGGAAAGGGCTAAGCTCTTTATATTTTGTACACTTGCTATAAAAAAACATAATCGTATATTACGCTTATAGACAAACTAACAAAAAAAGTTTTACAACTAAAAAAAAAATATATTTATTCCAATAATGCACATTAACCCAAAGAAAGATTAAATAAAAAATCGAAATTAACATTTTATCGACTTATATTTAAGATACAAAATAGAATATAGAAACTTGTATCTTAAATGCATTTTTCAAATTAAAAATGCATTTAAATTTTAAAAAGTATTTTAAAATTTTCCCATATCTGATTAAAATCTTACTTACAACTTTTAAAACTTGATATTACAGGCTACTTAAGCGATTTAATCAGTTCGACAAATGGTTTTCATATGACTTTTTGGTTTATGCCTATGGGTTATATGTCACCCGAAATGCCGAAAAATAATTTTTTCAGAGAGCCTGTGTTAATTTATTTACATAGTTTTTTTTTTTTTATATGATTTATACTTATTTACAATACTTTTAGCATGGAGACAAGCGATAGGGCGATCATTTTATCGTGAACCACTCAATCACTTATAGGGTGTTATAAGAAATTTAGTTACATTTCATTATGTTTTTATATAATATGATATGAATTTTTTACATTGTTGTAAGCATACTTACAACTTTTGTATCTTGATAGTACAGTTTACTTGAACGATTCGATCAGATTGACAAACTGTTTTTAAGTGACTTTCTTCGGTATTGTCTATTGGCTTATACCTATATCGACAGCAATCCAGCAAAGTTATTGGGTAGCACGTATAATCTAGAGATATTTCACGGTTGAACCTATGTGAACTTGTTTACAGAGATGATTTATTATTTTTTTATTACAATTATTCTGTAAAAATAAATTTATTTACAATATAATGGAATGTGATATCAGCTGAAATAAACTAGGTCACAAATATTGTAGTTAAAATAATTAATATTTTACTTATTACCTTTTTTTTCGACTATTAAGTTAGGTACAAAAAAGCGAACTTTGAAATGATTTACTGTTAAAACTTTTTTTAAGTTTCATAAAAAAAAATGCGGCTAACGAATTTGAAATTTGCACATAAAAAATTATACCTTGTAGCATCGAGCTACCCAAGATGTATACATTTTTATTTGTGTATATAGTCATCCATCGCAGCTGTATCGCAAAAAAATAAGTTTGCCTTAAAAAGTATACTTTCATATGTGTCAACTTAGGCCACCGTTGTTCGAATGTTTATAAAAAATTCACCATTTCACACAATATTATTGTTAATCCAAGTAACTAGAATCAAATAAGAATCAAAGTATAAATAATTGTTAGAAATTACTCTACATTTTCAGCAAAATATTCTTTATCTAAAAAATTAACCAAATGTATAGGTTACAATGTAGGTTTAAAAATTCAACGTTCAAGGGACTTTTTATACGCCTACGAAAAAATACTTGACGTTTTCAGTCGTTATTTTCTATATTCGTTTTCTTTGACTACATTTTGCTCATCGATGAAGAAAACAAAAAAACAAATCGCTGTTAACCAAGCACCTTATATTAACACACGTGTACCTGTAAATGTATTACTAAAACCTGTTATTCTATTATTTTCGATAAACCAAAATACATTAAATAAATTGGTTGATTTATTTAGAATAAGACACTCATTTGCTCTTAAAATAATAGAATTTTTAAAGTTTTGGCTTCGATGCGGAGTTTGAACATTTACTGGCTATAATTTTGAAAAAAATAGTCGGATCGAGTTGAAATGTTTAAGAAATATTTATTTAGTATTCCCCCACAAGTCATTAGTCTCAAATTTAAATTATACCCATTTTCCATACTCCTAATTTTACGACCTTTAAGTTGAAAAGTCGTCAGGACTTAGAATTCATTAGTATCCATAACATATTTTACGTAGAAAAAATTCGGGACTTCAGTTTTTCTCAAATTGCCGGAAAACTATGTTTTTCGCAGATTTAGTATATTTTATTATGAACCCCTTTAATCTTAAAAAAATTTATCAAATCATTACAAAATTTTTATGGCAACTATTCAGAACGATACTATTAAGTTTTGATACTCAAGTACCAGTATTGATTTAATTCAGGTTTTAATTTATTATTTTTTTTTTTTACTACTTGTCTTTGTTGAATCAAATGAAATTATTAAGAAATATAGACAAAAATTCAGATCTTTACAAAGTCATAAACAGCGAACAAACGGATGAAAATTAAAAATTCAAACACTAACATTTTTTTAGATTGTTTGTCTACATGTTTATGGAACTTAAAACATATGTTCCCATTTGAAAAAACGAGATTCGTACTTTTTTAACGTGTAAGGGTTAAAGATAAAATTTTTCTAAATATTGATTGATGTAGTTAAATATGTACCTACAATTTTAGGGGAAAAAAATTCGCAAAATATTCATATGTCCAGAGAAAATGAGTGTCTTACGTTAGTTGGGTCACCCTGTACTGTTGATGACAATACATGGATAAGAACGGTAGAAATTTGTTGTAGACAGACGATCAACATTAATCGTAATGGCCCTAATTTTAAAAAATTCAATTAAGATAATTATTGTCGTTGACCATCATAATGCTATTGTCGATAGTTTTATTTTTACAGGTTCGCGTCATAGTGGTTATTTGAAAACGATTTTATAACATTCAGCGAGGTCCATCCAACAATGTCCTAAGCCCTAACCCTATGTCCTAAGAATTGGCTTTTTGTTTTAGGAATATTCAATGACACAGCCATATTTAATACACGCAGTCGTTGTCTGTAATCGTTTGCACGAGCTTTTTTTACTAAAATTTACCAATTGTCATGTGGATTACAAAATTCGGTTGTTGTAAAAGTATAAAACATCTATATTGTGCTCAATCTTGAGTAAATAGTATATCTGTTCCGATAAAATTGCCGACTTATAATTTATTATGCCCTTGGAATTTTCAAAATAAAAAGTATGACTAAGAAGTGCACATGAAAAATTATTTTTCGTTGGATCGACGTTTTTTCCTTATACTTGATTTATGTACTCATCGATGACAGTAAAGAAAAAAATGTATTAAGACGTCATGTATGTGCACAGGTGCCGAAATTGTATGTGTTTCGAAGATATTTTGTACTTGCCATTTGTAATAACGTTCGAATTTACGAACACACAACCACATTTGAGGGCAATGGATCTATAAAGTTAAAAATCTTTAAGCTATTAATTTGAAATAAGTACCAGAAATCTAAACATTGAAAAATGTGTAGGTACATTCATTTGACTTTGGTTAGGCCAAAGGTAAAATTATTTGGAGGGAAATAAATTGTTGTTAAAATTCTTAATTGGTGTAAATTATTACAAATATCTGTTAATACATGGGGAACCCAATGATTGTTTGAACGCACTAATTTTCTGAAAACGTCAAACCCATCAAGTTGTGAATATAAAATATTGCATCCTAAAAACCTTTAAAATCGTGAAAAACCAAAACGATTTTTTCCAAATTTTAGAAAATAAAAACGAGTACTACCCCGTATGCCCCGGCCCATTTTTTGATCGAAAACCAAAGCGACTGTAATGTATTATATATTTACATATGAATACCGGTTAACAAAACACTGCATTGTTTGTGCATCAATTTGTTTTAAATGTCGATATACAGGGTGATTCATTTTGGGTAAGACACACATTTTCTCGGAATATATTAATATTTTGAACAACATTTCTTTCCAAGTTTTTTTGGTACATATTGTACCTACTATATTTTCATTATTTTGAAAATTTTTATCACCGATCCTTATAAGCCAAATAGGGGTATTTTTGGTTTTTTTTTTTAATGGAAACGTATGTTTTTCATTACACAAATTTGTAGACAAAAAATATTTTAGCGTTATTATATTATTAGATTATTCTTATAATAAGAAGAAGGTGGTAAAAAGTAGAAAAATCACATATTTACTAAGTTCAAAAACATTGGCTTGGGACCAATTATAATATGAAATTAGGCGAAGGCCATTGTAATACAACTTACCCCCCCATCACTATGAGTTATTAAGTGGTTCAACATAAAATTATCACCCTGTATGCAAACAATTATTAAATTACAACAAAAAACATAAGCAATAAACGTGTTTATAGTAGTGATTAAAACTCTTTATTATTGAATACATTTAATTTATTGACAACGTAAATATTAGTGCAGTATACAAAAAATATTTAAATGTAATACCAATAGTGCTCTAAAAAAATGTATGCTTATAACTCCTGTTCCAAATTAATCTAACTCAGATGCTAGTGTCACGTCTGCCTTCATAATATCAGGCTTATCTCTCCAAATAATGCCTCCAAGGGATCTGTATTTGAATTTATTCCCTGTTACATCTGTTAGAGTACAAATAAAGTTCACGCCCGCAATAACAGCTTCAACAATATATTCATTAGGGTTTTTAAGACTTCTGAACATTGCTATGAAACGGCACGTTTCCGGATAATCCCGGAAATATTTTATTGGCTTTGCTTCATCTGCATCTTTAGCTAAAAAAAGAAATACCAGATTTAGCTTATTTGCTACTACGTTTATTTATTTGCAAGACAACGTACATAAATCATTTGAAAATAATACAACACACAGATTGTGCGTATTGCACGTACATGTTAGTCAATACATTTTTTTTCAAAAAAGAAAACACGGATGCACCCCCTAGCCTAACCTAATATTTATCAAAGTTCTAAAAAACTTAATTCAGAAAAAAAAAATTGTTAATTAAATAATTTTTTTTTAATAAGTAACTCAACAAAGTCATTGGAAATCAGTCTTACCATCATCAATAAATATTATTTAAAAATAATTACTAAAAAGACATTGTTTCAATTTAATAAAGCCAGTATAATTAATTTAAAATGAATATTTACCCATTTCAATTTTGAGTATGTGTTTGATAACTTCTTTTGTTACATACTTTCTTCTTATATCCTCATAGTCTGAGAGCTTAAAGCCCGGACCGTACAAGGCTTAATGACAAATAATTAAAAAAATATATAGTTATAAATTAATTGCGTGTGATAGCATTGCGTTAAATAGATTTTTCCAATAATTTCCAATAATTTCTTTAGACCCGACTATGGCCCGACTCCACTGTATTGGATTTTTTCAACTTAAATAACCAAAACAACCTAACCTAATCTTTTAAACCTCTTAAGCAGTAGGCTCAATGATATAATTCGTATTATGCCTTGATAACAAAACTATCAGGAAATATAGGTAAACAATGAAGCACGGTTCAGTTCTTGCCCCCTTTCAAAGCAACTTATACATTAGCGGTTTACCAGGCGATATGATTGAAAAATAAATATATGATTATGATTACCTTCGGCTTCGTTAGGTGCTTTGATACCTGTAATTAGAACATCAAATAACTATACAGTTAAAAAAATAATTCTGTTTTCTATACCTTTTTTATATCAGTAATCTTGAGGCTTAGAGTATTTCAAAACTTAATCAATATAAACAGAGAATGAACTTAAAATTTCTGGTAGCCATGATTAAAAACACATTATTGACCTAGATTAATTTGGACTATGTTTTGAAATATCTTTAAAGTTTTAAACAGAAACATACACACTTTAAACTTTAATAGAATAGTTATCGGTTTTTATTTAGTACTTGTTTGTTTAAAAGAAATTATTTAGAAAATTAAAAATTTACCAGTCGCTTTCTCAATTAATTTTTGCGCTTCAAGCTGGATTTCCTTCTTTACTGAAATTCCAAACAAGATACAATTTATTGTACATAGTTTTTTTAAACCGAAGTCAATACGTAAGTGTAGGATTATTTACAACATACGTTTATGAATAATTAACAATAAGACTCTTTGTAAAGTAATATAAAAATGAAATATGTACTTGGTGGGCTATAGGGTCGCCACTCTGAAATGATAAAATACAGTTTTTACATAATGACCATATAATAATCATGTTAAAATATAAAAATTAAAAAAAGTTATTACCCGGTATGGAAATAAACATAAAAAAAAAGTAATCTGTATTTAACATAACATAGACGCATTAATTTTTATTAAATATATACATTTAGGAAGAAGACAAGTAGAAAATGGACATGTCTAATTAATTTGGAAAAACTGGCTCGGGATCTGATTGTATTAAATTAATTCGAGACTATGGTAATGAAATACCTAATTGGTTATTTATAATTAATACTAATATTTCATTATAATAAGTGTACATTTCATTATAACTTAATATTATGTATAATTAAGATCTATTGAGACGGACAGACAATCGAATTATTTCTACAATGTCTCAACCTTCAAGGTAAACCATTAACCACTGTTTAATTATAAAATTGTAATTACGCATTGGATATGTTTTTGTCTTAGCAAACTGCATCATAACTTTTGGCAACTTCCCTAATATAAACAAATAATGGTTAAGAGCTTAAAAAAATATAAGCAATACATTAACCATAAGTTAATTATGGTCAAGAAATAAAATAATATAATATTTTTAAGACAACCTTCACCGCAAAAAAATCCCTAGACTGCTTACGGGCAAACAACTGCTGTCTATAGCTACAAGAAGCCTAAGTTACTCTGGGTTTAGAATTTTTTTTAAATATATTAAATTTCATTTTCAAGCAATTAAATAAAAAAGTATGACAAATTGGGGGGAGGGGGGGGATATGTTTTTGTAACATACAATTTTAATGCTTAGTTCACTATAAACTATATCAGATAAAGTTCTGAAAGTATTCACTGCATTTCACAGTCGTTGTCGTGATGCATATGTTTGGCCAGAACATAAAAATTAAGACTATACTATTATCATAAACAGCAAGGAGATTGTAGATCAGAAATAATCACTATTTATGAGACAGCAGGCTAAAGAACGTTCCATGTTTTATAACATTAGACGTCAGGCGTCAAGTAAGTAGACTGTGCCTTTTTTTCATTTCAATTACCATACTAAATTGATGTTTTAAAAATCAAGAAAGTGAATTAATACCCTTATAAATATGAATGTATTCAGAAAAAAGAGTACACTATGCTTCAAGCGGTGACCATTTCAATAAATACTACACAAATTGCTACTCTAAATAGTCAGTGCTTTTAGCTAAGTGAATTATTAGTAAATATTACTACTTTGAGTACGAATATAAACGATTGGATACATTTAGTATCTGCGCCGTTCTTAACTTATGGATACTTTACACCTTATTTGTTCTTAATGTAGGCATATAATAAAAAGTGTAACACGTTTAACTATCATTTGATTATTCTTATAAAAATACTAAAAACTTTTTATAGACGTGTTTTATTTTTAAATATTATACGTTACCTGCATTATATGCTTTTTCTATTTGTTTGCCTGTAACAAATTATTATACATACTAAAACTTAAGTAATTATTTTATATAAAAAAAACTTTATACTGACTTGTGTTTATAACTAAGCTATAATATTCCTCTATAAAAAAAAAAAGTTAAATCTTCAGTATTTTTTATAAATTTCTACTATTTTGTCTAAGTATGAGTAAAAATAAAATAATTACTCTGATCATCAGCTACCAAAACACTTATCAATCCAAATGATATTAGTAAACCCAAGAGTTTCATTTTTACCTGGAAATAATAATAAAAGTTACGTTTTTTGTAGTGAAACAAAAAATTTGAATTTAGTGGAAGTAAAGATTACCGAATAGTTGTGAAATATTTTAGGTTAAGATTTTAGAAGCTTCTTTTTATCGGTGTAAATTTATTTGTTGTGATAATTAAAAATATATTATTATTACATCTACAGACTACCAGCCGGGTACACGGGCAGCTAGTATAAGATTAAATTTGTTTTAATGTATTTAAAATAACCCACTTAATTAATAAAATATAACCAAGTTTATCAACATAGAATCATGAACGAGCGTTTAAACTAATATATGTATGCTCTAATAAAACAGAGTTCCAATTTATTAGTATTAATTTTGTAATTGTTTTGACTACGTCATTGCCTGATGATTTATCACAATTTTTCAAATGTTTAATATCGACGTTGCGTGGTTGCATTAAAGCGTTAGTGAGTTTTCATATTGTTATACCGTCAAAGTAAAAATGTTTTTTCCCAGAATTTTGAAAAAACCATAACTTTTTACTAGCCACTGTTTGGTTTGTAGTTCACTTAAAAAAAATAATAATGAAATAAACAGATACGTACACTTTTTCTTTTACAAAATTCTTAACATTTGTAGTCAAACATTTCTTTTCATTATATTATATTTGTTGTTTTTTATTTCAAATACATTTTTATTTATAAACAGAAAATCCCCATTTAACGTTATATTATTAAAAACATGTATAAAAAAATTGCATTTCTACTGACAGTATTATTTTTGACCAGAAAATGACAAAAAAATAATGTGTAGCCCGTGTCGCACAGATACGTAAAAAAATTGTTTTTTCTTTAGTTATTACATTGGTAAAAATGGAGAAACAGTCTGCTTGAAAATATTCAATAATAATATTAAATTGATTTACTATTAGCGTTTGTATAATTTGGTAAAGATATCAGCTATGTATTGTTAGTTTTTTTGTCAGATGCCTCAATAAATAATTTATCAAATTATTCACAAAACATAAAATTGTGACTTTATCGTTTTAAAATAAAATTTTGGTCGCTGATTTTGATACTATTTTATCCTAAATAAAAAAAAAATGCTTTGGTAAAGATTTCTGAGAAAAGTATATTTGTTTTTTGTAGCCTCGCGCTGCATCATGTTTCAGTCTACGTTTTTGTTCTAAATTAAAAAAACTAGATCCTTACCTAAGTGGATTTTAAAAAGTAGGGTTCTTACTGCGAATGTGCTGTATCTAAAAATTTAGTCACACCGATTTTTTAATAATGTTTGAAGATTGTGTGTTTATATTTATGGAGTTTATTCCTTTCATTTAGAAGAGTTAATTTTTTTTTACTTTTTTCTCTCAGAAATAGTATATACCGTATCTACGTTATGTGCACAATTTCTATAATAAAAAAAACTGGCAATTTATCGATTCTGAATTAACTGACGGTTAAAAATGTATCGTGCATAATTACAAGGAAACAAAAAAATAGTAATTTGTAACACTTAATAAAATGTACTTACTATCGAAGAAGTCAGCAAGTACTACTTTCAGTAAAATCGAAATATATTTTGTATGATTTTGCAGTGTTAAATTATTTAAAAAAAATTTTTTTTATATATATATTATTACATGTTTACATTATACTGACTTTTGTCAAATTTTGCGTGAAATTGTTTTCAGGCTATGCTTTTCTTTGTTTAAGGTTTTAATATTGCTCGGAAGTATAATGTGCGACTAGCTGTGACCAAGGTGAGGGTGCAGTTCAACTACTTAAATGTCAATAGGTATGATATTTGATTTCCTATTGTTTGAAAAAATTAATTTTGAGAAAATTGCTTTCGCTTCTGATATAATTAAAAAAAAAAGAAGCTAAATCCAACTCTGCATTTCGATCTAAAATATACAAAGTCAAGCAACCAAACGATATACGTTAAAAACTGTTTTTTATATAGGTACTAGTACAAAATAATATACCTACTCATTTGTAGTGAACTAAAAAAAAAATAACCAGTACAGTAGGGTCGGGGCATAGTGGGGACGGAGCATAGTTGGGTCGGGGCATAGTGGGGACTGGGAGGTCACGGGTTTACAGGAATTTTTAAATCTGAAAGTGATAAAATCACTTTCGAAAAAACGCTTCGATGCAAATCGGTAGTTAGTATTTTCAAGCCAGTACAGTCCAAACCTAGCACAGCGTAAACCAGCAAAAGTTAGAAAGTATTAAATTGATGCGCTGTATTTACAATAAGCATTAAAGCGTTAATTTGAAAATGATTTTATCCGAGAGGACTATTACTGTATAGTATAAGCATAATGGAATCAAAGCAACGGGTACATAGAGAGGTCACAGGTCTACAGGAATTATGATAAATAAAAGTGATAAAATTGAATAAAATCACTAAACCGTAATACATACAATAAGCAATACTCGAGAATTCCCGTTTTATTGGAATAATTTTTAAAAAATCGTATAGGAAACAAATTAATTCGTTTTACAAACAAATACTGCGTAATGCTACAAACCGCAAACACAGGTGAACCTCAGACTTAAAGTGTGCATCAGACCCGAATTATTCATTCCATTGAAGTCGCTCAATTAGAAATCGAAAATCTCATAAACAAGGTGATCAATAATTACTACCGAGCATTAGGTTTCCCGAAAGAAGAAATACTGCCACAAAATCACATAACGTAATTTGTTGTATTCCGAAATAATGTATTGTAATGGGTACCGTATAATTTTGTTAGACATAACATTATACATAAATAAAGATTTTTTCAATATTCTTATGCTGCGGTTGTCAATTAATAATTTTAAAAAAACGATATTTAATAAACACTTAAACGGTACTTTATAAAAAATATTATCATATTTGTTTTCGTTTAGCATACGTTATTGTTAGAGGCTCTCACTTTTTATTGATGACTGCCAATGATTTTCGGAATATGATCAAACATCACCAAACGATTTTGGGGATGTATTATAGTTATTTTATAATCATTTATAATTTACATTTTTTTTTTATAAATAATTATTACAACTATTTTCATAAATACAATTTTTACTTTTATCGATGGTTTATGAATATCTATTAAACAGCTATAACTGTAATTATATATAGTAAAAAATCTTTACATACATTGTCTCATCGATTTTATGCTACTACAAACTAACGAAAAAAGTTCAAGAATTTATATTAAACACTATAAAGGGTTCCGGCCATTCTAAATTTGTAAACAAGTGAAAACACGAAGACAATATTATTGCATTGTTCTTGAAGGATTTTCGAGTACATAGATAGAACGTTTAACCGTGAAATAATACAAAAAATATTTTGTTTTACAAAATTTTAAACTTTACAGCTATTATAATTTGCAGGCGAACAATGGTCGGAAATTAACTTTTTATCTATATTGAACCTTGCCGTAATATAAAATAATATTCTATCCCTTGGTCATAAACTATCGTTGCTAAAATGTTTTAGTTTGTTTTGATACTATTAGACCAAGGCACGTGGGCTGTTTAATGTTTAACACACATAATTCTAGGTCGTGAACGATATCATTGTACGATGACGTCGTTCTGTCCAGAAATCAAAAGCCGGAATTCGTTTGCCCGTTTAACTACACACTGTAGTTTCTCTGAAGACGTTACAAGTTATTATCACTTTATCACTTTTGACTTTTGAGAGCTAATCCCAACGTATCGTCATTTTGCTCGCAAGTCTCAAGAACTACAATTATGAAACCAATCGCAAATGCAGGGGAGCTAAGAACGCCAAGCCCCTTTCATTTTAAATGGTTACAGAGGTATGATTTTAAACACGGAATGTATGTTATTTCCATCGAAATCATCATGAAGTAAAAGGATTTTTCAATGTAATTAATTTTCGTGTATTTTTGTATAATAATAACACAAAACGGTACAAATTAAACTTAAATGTCTGGACACCTTAGGTCAAAACGAAAAACATCCAATCGATTTTCCTAACATGATTACACTTAACGATTAAACAATATGAATTATTTTTTACATTCGCTAAGCGGATATTTTACAGACACCTTCTAAGGTTTATTAGGATTTCCTTTGGTTTCATACGTGACCGACCTGGTTTTTGTTCAATTTGAGGTATAAAAATTAAATAACAACAGCGCCAACGAGAATCGTTTTGTTGTATGTATTAAGACGTGTTTTCTAAAACTTCAGCAAATATAGTAGGTCACCGTTAAAATATTGGTAGGCAACAACCGCTAAACGTATACTGACTTTTTTAATTGTTTACAATACGAACAAACAACTACGCACCTGTTTAGTTAGTAGATAACGTTTTTTTACAGAATCCATATTCCCCGGTGTAATTGCAGTAACTGTACTATAACTGTGGAAACAATATGTTGGTGTTATCGAACAATTTTTAAAAAAAAATTCATCCATTTCATAAAACACGATTTTAGAACTATTCATTGTTTGCAAAATTACACTTTTTACTCGTTGCCCAAAAAATGCGATACTTTATTTATTAAAAAATATATAAAGAATAATACAGTAATATTCGAATATAATGTTTTACAGTGTGTCAAATAACTTTATGGTGTTCATAATAATCAGTGATTGGCTAATGTTTTTATCGTGTAACAACAATGAATATCTAATTTTTAGACTCAACGCCATACTAAGCCGTCCTGGATGGAGGAAAATCGACCATATCAAAGGCAAACACCAATGCTCTGCAAATTCATTTTCTGGCAATGATCTGTTTATACCCATCGAAGAACCCGATAGTTTCTACGTAACCGAAGAAAATGTCTACGATAAATACTCGATGACGGCTCGGTTGACTGAATGTGTGTACGCGAAGGCCATATTAGATTATTTATCCTTGATTCGATTGGTTCTACACTTGAGCTCACGCGAGGGAAAACTTGTGAGTAATAAGCTTCGTTGCCGAAAGTATTACCATAAAATCCACAAGACGAAAAATCCGAAAGTTTTGGCACCTCCTCTAAACTACGACAGATTTTGGGATATGCTCGATTTAGCATTGGGCAAAATAGGAAACATTCACATTATGTTTGGCATTATGATTGATGCGTTGAGTTTTCTACAAGAATCGTTGAACAAGTTACGCGAATGCCCGTTAGATTCAAACATACAACTAATAATGAAAAGTATGTATCTAATTTATAATGCGAAGCTAACTGTAGAAGAATACAACGGAGACAACCGCAAAAAATACAATTCAAAAATTTCGAGAATTTCCACTACGTTGGAAATACATTTTAAAAGAATTATAGTAAACATATTGATTCCTTTTACAAACGAATACTGCGAAATGCTACAAAGCGCCAACACAAGCGAACCTCAGACTTTAGTCGTGCATCATGTCAGTGTAATTTATATCTTCGAAGAAGCTCAATATGAAATTGAAAAACTCATAAACAAGGTGATCAATAATTACTACCGAGAATTAGGTTTCCCGAAAGAAGAAATACTGCTATAAAATCACAAAGCGCAATTTGTTGTGTAACGAACTTGTAATTTATTATTTTTATTAAAACGGACAATAACCAAAGGACACATCATCTAGGTACACTTTGATATTGTCTTACCTATTACATATATATATATACAAATATGAATTGTCTGAACAATTCAATATTGTCTAATTGTCTATTTAAAACGTTTAAAAATATGCTTTTTAGTATACGAGTTATACCATTATTGAATTGCATCATTGAACTAATTCACCCGGCTATCATAATTCTTACCGTATAACCCGGACCTCCTCGTCCCAACCTATGATCCTTCTTCTGTTTATGATACCTATTTTTTTTTAAGATTTTAGCTCAGTTGGTGTAATAACAATACTATCAGCTAAATGTTTAACGTTGGAATACTTATGTTGTGCCTAAAAAAAAAACAAAATTATAAAACAAGCAAATTTTTTTTTTTTTTAGTAAACAATGACTTATACTATGCTTTGGATCATATGCCATTGTTTAGAAGAGCTTGCTCTGGTTTCCACAGATTTTACGGACAACTTACCTAGCTAGGGTTTTATGTGTTAGACCAAATTTATCGATAAAACGAAAACTGTAATATTTTCGATAGCAGAACATTATTTTGAATTAATTATTGTCCACCCAAACCGAGTTCAACTTGAACGGGGTCGGTTACGCACGTGTGTTTTAGTAATATGTAGAACCCCATAAATTCGCGTTTGTGTTTTGCGGCATATTCTGTTGAGCATTATAGTATATTATATTATTATCCATAATAGTACCTATTTGTTGGTCTACAATGGATAATATCTATCATAGTTCAAAAGATATCATATAGCATTAAGTATTCTATCCCTTTCACACAGTGAAAAACATATCCCTTGGTTTTCAAAACCACCATATTCAATTTGAAATAAGTATATGAAGTATTTGAAATGTGCTTTATCATGAGTTAAATTACAGGATCATTTATCGCTGTGTGCAAGTGTATTCGTAGTTAATTTCTGTTATCAAAGTTTATTCATTAATAACAAAATGTATCATTGGTTAGATGCCATATCATAATAATAATATTAACTCCTATTGCTGATACTATTTATTCGATAACCAGTATACTGGTAATAACCTGAATATACAACAACAATTGAGCAACACACGTATATTAAACACATGTTAATTTAACAAAAGATAAAGTTTAACAAAAGTTAGTTTATTACGGTGGTAAAAAATTTACCAATAGATAACGACAAGTTTGGTGCAACTGGGCATAAGTCTTTTTATTGTTGACAATATAAACAGATATAATATATATACACAAATATGTAGTTTGTAGCTGACGTTTTTTTCAACTACAGCATATGTTGGTGTTATCGCATATTTTTTTTTTAAAAATCATCCATTTCATAAAAATACTTTAATGATGAATATGTTCGTCCGCAAATTTAAACTTAATCTACGCTCTACACATCCATTTATTGAAGCCAACATATTTTGGATGGTAAACTAAGGCAAGGATTGCCAGCGAGAATTGTTAATATGTTGTGAAACTAAAAACCGCCTCAGGTATTCGTACCAATGCTAAAAAAATAGCTCTTCAAATATATAATAGCAATGAAATACACAGTTATTTACAGTCTATTCAAAGTAAACCATGTACTTGTTTATATTAAACGTTTCAAACATGTTTTGGATTGTTTACAAATAGGAAATAGGCAGCAACCGTAGGTAGTTTCAGTTAGCGTACGGTTTGTAACTAAACTTAGTTGTCAATTTAATTTAAAGAAAAAGTAATAATACAGTGGTATTTCAATAAAATGTTTTACGGTGGGTCAAGTTGCTTTATGATGTTGTTGATAATCGGTAATTGGCTAATGTTTTTATCGTGTAACAACAATGAATATCTAATTTTTAGACTCAACGCCATACTAAGCCGTCCTGGATGGAGGAAAATCGACCATATCAAAGGCAAACACCAATGCTCCGCAAATTCATTTTCTGGCAAAGATCTGTTTATACCCATCGAAGAACCCGATAGTTTCTACGTAGCCGAAGAAAATGTCTACGATAAATACTCGATGACGGCTCGATTGATGGAATGTGTGTACGCAACTATTATCTTAGATTATTTATCCTTGATTCGAATGATTGTACACGAAAGCTCACGCGAAGCAAAACGTGTGAGTCACGTACTCAGTATGAGAAAGTATCGCCATTACTTTGTAAAAAATCCTAAAGCTAAACCCGATTTCAACTATGACAGATTTTGGTATATGCTTGATTTAGCGATGGGTCAAATAGAAAACAGTCGCAAGATGTTTCACTGTATAACCGACGCGTTGAGTTTTCTAGAAAAATCGTTGAATAAATTACGTGAAGGCCAGTCGCATTCAAATATAGAGCTTATAAAGATAAGTGTCAGTCTAATACTTAAAGTGAAGCAAACCTTAAAACATTACAATAACGAAAACCATAATAAGTACAACGCGAAAATTTCGAGAATCCCCTCTGTATTGGAAAAATACTTCAAATATGATATAGTAAACAAATTGATTATTTTTACAAACGAATACTGCGTAATGCTACGAAACGCAAACACAAGCGAACCTCGGACTTTAAGTGTGCATCAGACGCGCGTTATTCATTCCGTTGAAGATGCTCAATTAGAAATTGAAAATCTCATAAACAAGGTGATCAATAATTACTACCGAGCATTAGGTTTCCCGAAAGAAGAAAAACTGCCGTTAAGTCACAAAACGAAATTTGTTGTATTCTGAACTTGTATATTATAATTGTTATCTTATAATTTTGTTATACATATTATGTACAATTAAAGATTCTTTCAACAACCTAATACTACGGTTTTCTATTCGTAATTTAAAAAAATAGGCTTTTCAATAAACGAGTCAGATTAGTTTATGCGTTTAGTTTTTAGCAGACGTGTATCACAGTGTATATTCAACGACAAAACACAACAGTTGGCGTTGCCAACCAATCTGAAAATAAACCAATCATATTTGTTTCACGGTTAGCATACATTTTTGTTAGTCGTTCTCACTTAACATTGATGCCTGATGTGCAGAGTAGGACAAGTTGATAGCTAAAAGTTAATTTTATATTTTCTAAACAATTTTGGTAATGTATAACAATTATTTTTAATCTTGAATAATTTATTTTTTTTTTGCAAATAATGATTAAAACATTCTTCATAAATACAAATTTTACTTTTATTGATAGTTTATGAGTAACTATAAATCAGCTATATCTATAATTATAAATTATTTGCTATCAATTACGTTGTGATATACATGAACACTAAAAAATTATTTAGATCATTTAATGAAATAAATATTATTGTGTGTACATTTTGTGGTTTTTTCGAACTTTTCCAGTTTTGGCACACACACACACACAGCAGAGCACAACATTTTCCGGCGTCAAAAGTCAATAAATAGTTGGATGCGATGCGAAGACAGGAAGTGAAAAAGTAACATGATAACAACCGCTAGTAAAGTACACTCGTAGCATGTTTATCGGCTAAACTTAATGTCGATAGGTTACAATACTACTAGACAGTCGACAAAGATCAAAACTTTTCTGTTTTTAAATTGGAATATCCGGTGAATCTATTTTATTTGGATTTAATGTACTAATGTACCAGAAGATTATTAGTATAGTTGCCAAACCAGATGAGCGCAAGTACCGAGGACTAACGTAAAGATGCGCAGGAAAAATTATATCCCTTGGTATACAAACGCTTCAAATACGATTTGATATAAGTATACATTTTTTATATAATTCATTTTTATCTATGTTAAAATTAACATAGATACAAAATTATTATAGTACAAAACGGTACAAATTCAATTCAAGAAAAATCCAATAATTAATGGAGAGAGTCGAGAGTTGTTTTATAATTTGTATTTCGTGTTGTCTAAAATTTTAGTAGGTGTAGTAGGTATTTAGGTCACTGTTAAAAAATTGATAAGAAACAGTTGCCTGTTAGACCACCTGCTGAACGAATCCCGAGCCTTTTTTATTGTTTACAATATAAACAAATATAATATACCTACGAACCAGTTTAGTTTTTAGCTAACATTTCCAAATCCATATTCACAGGTGTAATCGCTGTAGCTACACTACAACTGTGTGAAGAATAAGTTGTTTTATCGATAAATTTTCAAAAAAAAATGTTCGTTTCATAAAAACACTTTAATGCAAATCTATATGATCAATATTTGCAAATTTAAACTTTTTACTCGTTGATCAAAAAATGCAACTCAAACACCAACGTTCAGATAAAGTTAAAGGGGGTATTAACAAAATAAGACACTTTTGGGCGATCAAGGTTATCACAGAACGTAAATAACTCTAACAAAATGTTAGGTTATAGTATAGTCATCGCCGAGTGGCTAACGGCCGTCATTGCCCACTAGAATCTTATATTGTCACTAGTTTTATTGAATTATACAAATTTTTTTTTAATCGAATAATGGGTATAGAACATTTAATGTCTACAGTCCACTTTAAATTAAAAACTTTAAAATGTGCAAGAATTTTTAACATGTTGTAAAACTAAAAACCTCCATAGGTATTCGCACCAAAGTAACTTTTCAAATAAATTATGGCAATGAAATACACAGGTATTTTTAGTTTACTTAGTATATACTTACATTTATTTGCGATTTACATTAAAATCATGTTTGCATGATATACAAATAGGAAATAGGCAGCAACCGTAGGTAGTTTCAGTTAGCGTACGGTTTGTAACTAAACTTAGTTGTCAATTTAATTTAAATAAAAAGAAATAATACAGCGGTATTTCAATAAAATGTTTTACGATGGTTCAAGTTGCTTTATGATGTTGTTGATAATCAGTAATTGGCTAATGTTTTTATCGTGTAACAACAATGAATATCTAATTTTTAGACTCAACGCCATACTAAGCCGTCCTGGATGGAGGAAAATCGACCATATCAAAGGCAAACACCAATGCTCTGCAAATTCATTTTCTGGCAATGATCTGTTTATACCCATCGAAGAACCCGATAGTTTCTACGTAACCGAAGAAAATGTCTACGATAAATACTCGATGACGGCTCGGTTGACTGAATGTGTGTACGCAAGTATTATCTTAGATTATTTATCCTTGATTCGAATGATTGTACACGAAAGCTCACGCGAGGCACAACGTGTGAGTTCTGCAATTCGTGTGAGAAGGCATCGCCATAAAGTAAACTTAACAAAAATACCTAGAGCTAAAGTTGATTTCAACTATGACAGATTTTGGGATATTCTTGATTTAGCGTTGGGTCAAATAGAAAACAGTCGCAAGATGTTTGACTGTATAACCGACGCGTTGAGTTTTCTAGAGGATTCGATGAACAAATTACGCGAAGACCAGTCGGATTCAAATATAGGACTAATAAAGATAAGTGTCTTTCTAATCCGCAACGTGAAGAAAATTTTAAAACATTACAATGGTGAACACCGTAGTGAATACAATTCGTTCACTTCGAGAATTCCCTTTAATTTGGAAAAACATTTTAAATTTCGTATAGTAAACAAATTGATTATTTTTACAAACGAATACTGCGTAATGCTACAAACCGCAAACACAAGCGAACCTCAGACTTTAAGTGTGCATCAGACGCGCGTTATTCATTCCGTTGAAGATGCTCAATTAGAAATTGAAAATCTCATAAACAAGGTGATCAATAATTACTACAGAGCATTAGGTTTCCCGAAAGAAGAAAAACTGCCGTTAAGTCACAAAACGAAATTTGTTGTATTCTGAACTTGTATATTATAATTGTTATCTTATAATTTTGTTATACATATTATGTACAATTAAAGATTCTTTTAACAACCTAATACTACGGTTTTCTATTCGTAATTTAAAAAGTAGGCTTTTCAATAAACGAGTCAGATTAGTTTATGCGTTTAGTTTTTAGCAGACGTGTATCACAGTGTATATTCAACGACAAAACACAACAGTTGGCGTTGCCAACCAATCTGAAAATAAACCAATCATATTTGTTTCACGGTTAGCATACATTTTTGTTAGTCGTTCTCACTTAACATTGATGCCTGATGTGCAGAGTAGGACAAGTTGATAGCTAAAAGTTAATTTTATATTTTCTAACCTATTTTGGTAATGTATAACAATTATTTTTAATCTTGAATAATTTATTTTTTTTGCAAATAATGATTAAAACATTTTTCATAAATACAAATTTTACTTTTATTGATAGTTTATGAGTAACTATAAATTAGCTATATCTATAATTATAAATTATTTGCAGACATGTTTCACAGTGTATATTCAACAACATAAAGACTTAGCGTTGCCAATCATTTTTTTAAAACAATCATTCTTTATAAATACACGTTAGTGTATACTTATGTTTTGAAATTCACCTAAGGTAAACTTGAAAAACGCGTTTGTATGGTTTTAAAATGGTTTATGTATAGTAACTTTTAGTAGTTACAGTTAACGTACTATTTTAATTTAGTACCAAAATTATTTTTAATGTCTTAAAAAAAAAAATCAATCTTACACTATTATTCAAATTCAATGTTTACAAGTTTGCCAAACAAAAATTTGAATTATGCTACTATTGATGCCTTGGAAATGTTCTAAATAACACAAACATTTTTTTAAAGCCTAAATTGGATTATTCTTAGGATCAGTACTTTTTAAGTAGAACAATTTGTTTTCGACCAAGTAATAAGTATACGCAGGTGGAAGAGGCCCTTTAAGGTAAATATACATTTGTTTGCGATACACGTTTGAAACATGTTTCTATGATTCACAAATAGCAACGTTAAGTAGATTCAGTCAACGTACGATTATAACATAACAAAGTTGATTTTTTATTAAAAAAACAAAGAAAATTACAGTGGTATTTCAACAAAATGTCTTACAATGTGTCAAATGGCTTTATGATGTTGTTGACAATCAGTAATTGGCAATTGTTGATATCGTGTGACGACAAAGAAGATCTAATTTTTAGACTCAACGGCATACTAAGCCAACCTGGATGGAAGTTAATCGACCATATCGAAGGCAAACACCAATGCTCTGCAAATTCATTTTCCGGCACTAATCTGTTTGTACCAATCGAAAAACCTGATAGTTTCTACGTAACCGAAGAAAATGTCCACGATAAATACTCGATGACGGCTCGATTGCTTGAATGTGTGTACTCGAAGGCCCTAATAGATTATGTATCATACATCCGATTGATTCTACACTTGAGCTCACGCGAGGGAAAACGTGTGAGTAACGCAATCCGTATGAGAAGGCATCGCCGTAAAACCTATCCGAAAAGAGTTCCAAATGCCAATGAACCGGTTTTGAACTATGACCGATTTTGGCACATGCTCGATTCAGCGTTGATCCAAATAGAAAACAGTCGGAAAATGTTTCACTGTATAACCAATGCGTTGAGTTATCTAAAAGAATCGATGAAAAAATTACGTGTAAGCTCGTCGGGCTCGAGTACGGATCTAATAATAAGTAGTGTCATTTCAATCCGCGACGCGAAGAAAATTTTAAAATACAACGAATATAACCTTCGTGATTACAATGTGTACGGTTCGAGAATTCCCAATATGTTGGAAAATTATTTTCAACGTTTCGTGGTGAACACATTGTTTCATTTCACAAACGAAAACTGCGTAATGGCGCCAATCACAAACACAAGTGAACCTCAGACTTTAACGGAGCGTCCCGCCTGTATCATTGAAGAAGCTCAATTAGAAATTGAAAATCTCAAAAACAAGGTCATCAATAATTACCACCGAAAATTAGGTTTGCTCAAAGAAAAACTGCCGGAAATTCGCTTAACGTAAATTGTTGTAGGCCGAAATTATATACCAATATGTATATTATTATAATGGATATAATATAATTGTGTTGTACATATTATGTATCAATAATGATTTTTATTAATATTCTAATACTGCGGTTGTCCAATAAACATTTTCAAAAAATGCTTTTTAATAAACAATTTAAATTAATATAACTAACTTTGTAAATATTCTTACAAATTATAAAAGTGTTATTACGGTAGTTTCGGGCTTAAGCGTTGCCCGATTTTTAGAGCGTTCATCACGCTTGGTAGTCGTATTGTATAAATGATTACAACGACCAAATAATAATAATAATAAATGTTATAATAAACCAATACGGATGAAACCAGTTTCATCGGCGGACAATAAGACTAGCGGTATTTCTCACATATTACCACAATCCCGTTGGACTACAAATATTTTATAATTAGTTGCACTTCTTTCAGTTCTAGTTACTTATAAAAAAATATGTAATATTAAAAAATTATTTTCCGTCCCTGAAAAATTGCCGCCCTAAGTAGTGTTATCTACCTTATATATGGTACCTTATAGAGTTTACTGAGAAATACAGTACTGGTTATAATAAGAGTGATTATAAAGCCTTTAATATAAAATATGTTAAATTCAAACGTTTCAAATCAGAAAGTTAATTAAGAACAGCTGAATCCATTAATTTTTATTTCATAATCAGTATTTTCTTATATTTATTTTTACCGCTAATTATCTTATATAAGCAATAAAAAACAGCGTAATAGATTCTAAAATAATAAGACTAATCTAATAGAAGAATAACATAGTTTAACATTTCCTTGTTTAACGATAACAATTGAAGTATTGACCATACTATTAAACTATTTGAATGGGTACGTTTTACTTAAGTTATTCAAAAGTAGCAGTGTTAAAAAAAATTGCTCAAAAGACAATGCTTAAAGTGCCCAAGTTAGTATATAAATTTGTTTATCCAATTAAAGCCAATTCGTTTATAGCGTATTTTTGGAAAAACTTAAAAATCAATTATTACTTTTATTGAATACATTTGTAGGGAAATCGGGCAAATCGTTTTATTTATACTGCTTTGATAAAACTGTTTCTATCTCTGTTTCTAAACTGTCTTGTGCGATAAATATAAAAAGAAAGTTATGAACACAACGCTCTAATTTCAGTTCGCAATAGAATCATTAATGAGTTGTGTGACTACAACCGTGCCATTATAAACTGTAACGTGCACGCAGATATTCAAGTAAATGTATTTTTCTTTCTTAACTGAAAAATATTTGTTTCATAGAACAATTACCACTAAAAGATCAGAGTAACAAAAAAGTTATCAAGAATGTCGTTAGTTGCATTCTAAAACAAATATCTTTACACATATATATTTTGTATTGATATTACTATAATTAATATTCAAACCATTACTGGATGTTGGAAACATTATTATATTTTATAAATTAAAATTAGAAAAACATATTGTAATTTTTTTATAAATTAAATATTTTAATTTATTACAATCGTTTCAAATTATGGTAAAATTAAAAACGATTGGGATTAAATATCTTCAGATTTCTTTATGACACTAAACATATCTACAGTTGAGATAACAAAAAAAATGATTTACAGTAAAAAAAAAATAAAATTTATTATTTCACACATATCAATAGTATGGTAAATACTTAAATACATTTATTAGGCTGGTATTCCAGAATTAATTTGAGATTCAATGCCACATTCATCGTTTCCCCTCAATATTTTGAAGAAACCATTATCACCCCAATCTGTATTCCACGAATTGGCCACCAACCAGTAGGGAGTACCATTTTCTATACCCCATCCGAGTATTCTTATGGCGTGTCCTCCAAGTTCTTTGTCGACGACATGCTTATAAATTCCTAATAGATAAAAAAAAAAAAAATTCAATTTCAAATTAACGTTATTTTGAATGTAAGATATGATAGTAAGATATTTTGAAACTCATTAGTTATTATCGTACCTCTATCACAATTACTACTACTACAAATACAAATATACAGGGTGTTCCAGCATGAAAGGTAAGTAGCAGGTGATTCGACATCTGGGAACCCTTAAATAAGCCCCTCGTTTATATTTGTTCGATAAGTAAAAAATTGTAGGTTTCGACAGTTAAGTAAAAGAATAATGACTTAAAAAAAAAGAAAATTGTGCCCTGTTATTCAGTGCAGAAAACTCACCTTAAAAGAGGGGTCACATCATTTTCAGTCTCTTTCGGGGTTTATTTGGGGGTCCCCCAGATGTCCAATCGGCTATTACTTTATCTTTCATGCTGGAACACCCTGTATACTCCTTTAAACAATAATCATTTCGAAAGGTTTATTTATTTATTAAATAAGTTTCAATAAATGTTAGTCTAGTTGACGTACATCCCAAACATAAATTAAATTCCCAAGTGGCAAACCATCTTTAAGTTTAAGTTTAAAAAAAACATTTAAATGAACAAACAAAAGCTAGACTACTAACTTGTTTCAAAATAATGGTAACTGTACTTATTTTATTAAGTTTCTGAATATTGCTATATATAATACTATAATATACTTAATCTAATGTACTTTTAGTCTGGCACCTTAAAACATTTAAAATTTTTTTTTTAAATTAACACTTATTTTTTTTTTTAATGTTTTTAAAAAAAATTTCTTATTTTAAATTGATTACCATGTAAATATGAAATATCCATAAACAAAATTAAAATTGAATTAACAGGTAGAAAATCGATTTGCTGTTAAAGGTTATTTATTATAAAATGTACTACCACAAAGTCAAGTAAAGTGGTCAAACCGTTAAAAAATTATCACAGGTTCAGACACAAAAAAATAAAACAATACTTTCTTAGCTCCACATTGAAACTTTAAAGTAGGTACATATTAATTATAATTACTTTAAAAATACTAACCTGATTTGTACGCTATAAAATCTTCATATACAGTAAACGCTCCTTCTACTGGTCCATTGTTAAAAATTTCCTGTCTTATTTCATCAACATCATTTCCAATAGAGTATACCGATTTCCCTGACAAAATTACAATTAGAATATCACAATTTACAGTGTGTAAAATATTTGACATTAAATACTACTTATTTAATTATAATAAAATCACATATATAATAAATACACGATGACAGTTATCCTTTCTTTACTTTTGTCATTTTATGAGACGTCATAAAAACTTTATATCATACATGACATCTCGAATGTGTTTAAGGGGAGTGATGTCAACGTTATAAAAAAAAATGGCTTTAATATAAAAAAAAATTTCCCCATGCTGCTTTTGCTTTGTATTTAAAATTACCTCGATGTAAATCCTCAGCATAAGATAAATTATATCCATCTTCACATTTCTTAACACATTCAGGAGTCTTCCCTCCTTCTTTACAAGGTCCTCTTGTTCCGTTTATATGATGCTCACACGGTGCAATTTCATATGGAATACAGCCCTGTAAATATAAAATACATTTAATTGAACAATATGACATTTTTACAACGCCTATAGCTCATGTTGTATACTTTTAAAAACAAAAAAATGTATTTAATAATCAACACCGCTTGATTGTTTTAACTTTTTGAGAAGCATTGATATTTATGTAAATTTTTAAAAGTTTTGCCAAAGAAAGCGTTGTCAAAAAAATATATATATATGTATATATATTTATTTCGAAATTTTTTTTCTTCGATTATTTATTCCTAGCCCACTCTTGAAGTAGCTTCTGTGTATTTTTAATTGGCTCTGCGAAGGTTTAAGAACATTAATAGTTAAGAAATCAAATCAAAGCGAAAGCCAATAAAAATAAAAAAACATGGTTATTTTCAAATATTGTCCTTTAGGGTGGCCAATATTTACATTATTTTAAAGCATTTATTACTTATTCTTCATCGAATCAATTGAGATGGTATAAAATGTACATAAGTAACTTGAATTACTGTGAATGGTTAGCGTTCTAGGGGTTGATAAATAGTTGATTTTGGGACTCTCAAATATTATTCTTATAAGCATTGTGGGTTCAAAATTAATTTTTAGCCTAAACTAATAAATACTAACAATAATTGTCTGTAATAATGATCTGCTAATATAATAAGCGTGCTAATAAGTACTTTGTGGTACCATAGTGTTATATATTCCGTGTTAGTTCATTTAATATAAAATGATATTTAATCCTACATTATATTACCAGATGAGAATTATAAGGGCCTCCGCTGACAATGCCATTAGTTTTCCAATAGCGCCATGCTGCACCAGGGAAACCACCGTTGCAACCAAAGCCACAAGACCAACAGCAAGACATTAAGTTTTCGGCAGAAAAATGGAAATTTTTTGTTCCGTTTGAATGTATACAAACACGATCGGACATAGCTTCAACTGCTGCAAAAGCCTAAAGATTGTGTACAAAAAAATAAATGTAAATACAACTTGACGGGAAAATAAATTGATCAATTAAATGTTTTAACTATAAGCGCTTGCCCAACAAGATCCACACGACCCTTGATCCCGGATTTCTCTAATTGTTGGACAATTTGGCCAATTTTTTCTAGAATCAAAATGTTCTGGCAAATCAGTTTTTTTAGTGTAACTTAACAAGCTTTCTAGTTTTTCTCGATTATTATTTTCTCGATGCACACCCATTAATCTTCTAAGGTTCGACATAGGTGTGTCTGGATGGAAATTTCTTCCGGCCTACAAAAATCAAAGTCCACCAGTTTTTTTCAGTGTAACTAAATTGATTATATATATTACTCTATCCCAAATAAGACCGGTAGTGTGTAGGAACCAAAACACGTCATTTGTGGCCACGCAGACACGTTTCGTTTTGGTTTCTGCGCACTACCGCTCTTATATGGTTTAGAGTATAGCAGAGTTGGCTGAAATTCGGTTATTAATACAAATTGCAACCCAATTTTACATTAATTTAGGTGAACGCGTTTTTTTTTTTTTTGGTAGTCACTAAACATTTGCTAGCAATTTTTGTTAAGGGTTTTTTTTGCCAACTGATTATGTTTTTAGATGCGTAAATAGTACTACCTTCCATGTATTTTGTATAGAATTTACGTGGTTGATAAACTCATCCGACAAAGGATCCTTTGGAACGATTCTCAGTTTTGATGTTGTGGCTAATACGCTAAAATGAAAATGGTAAACGAGAAAAAAACATAGTATCGATCGCAGCATTTTAAAATAAATAATAATTTAACCCAATATTTTTTAGCAAATATACTGCACAGACTGCGTGCAAAACGTTAAAAATCGTTTAAATATTTTAAGAGTTAAAGTACACCTATATTAAATGTAAAAAATGACCATTACACATTATATCGATTATGATAACTGATTTTATGAATTGGAGTAACGCGAAATTCGTAACAGTTGAACATGTTGTATACTAAACAGATAACCTTTTGAACTTTTTTTCTGAATGCTATAGAGTGCTAATCTAACCCAAGGTCAAAATAGTGTTACGGACCCTTTTATGTTGACATTGTTGCAGATGTGGTTGATGTTGAAATAATTTTAAGCACTAGGAATTAAAATATTAATTCTCTAATTTTTATTGTACAGTTTAAACAGTTAATCGAACGTAAAACCATTTTGACATGTATAGAAATAGAGAAACGTCTTGGAATGAAAGTGTTGATTTGTCTGCCGGAAATCATCTCCCTGAACCAGTAGCTCTGAAGGGTATAATATATATCATCGTGCAATAAATTGATTTAAATAATAACTATTAGAGCAATAACTATTTTGCAATGCTAGTTGCCGACAATGCCGTCAAAAAACGCAATGTAATATCATATGAACAAAAATAAAAAAATGTGTTAGAACAATAAGGAAAAATGAGACGTACAAATTAGTAATTGGTAGTAGTTGTGCGGAGGTCGGAGTATAATTCTGCCATCCTATATTCGTTTACTTTATAACAAATTACATAAAACTATTAGGTTTACGGTGGTGTTACAACAAAAGTGACCAACAATTAACACAATTCATCATAATGTTTAAAATTGTTTTGTCGACATGATAGTTTTTTTTGCATTTATAAATCTATAATATAATAATAGGACATAGGTTATTGTAAAATGTTCATACTTACATTGATACTTAAATTGCATATATTCCATAATCCATACATATCCTTATGATATATCTTAGGGTAATTTTATCAATCACCAGTTAAAATAATGTAAACTTTGGTTTATGTTAATGTTTAGTTAAACTAAAAATTTGACTTTATGATCTTTCAGTTAAATTTTAGGTGAATCTTAAATTACAACGTCTAACGTAAATTAAACAGTTTAAGTTAGTTAGTATATTTTGATCAGTTAAAAGCTTTAGTTATTTGGTGGTATTTATATGGTACTAAATATATCTACAGTTGAGACGACATAAAATGATTCACAGAAAATTTTAAATCAAATATTATTTTACACATCAATAGTATGGTATATATTTAAATACATTTTTTAGGCTGGTATTCCAGAATTAATTTGCGATTCAATGCCACATTCATCGTTTCCTCTCAATATTTTGAAGAAACCGTTATCGCCCCAATCTGAATTCCATGAATTGGCTACCAACCAGTAGGGAGTACCATTTTCTACACCCCATCCGAGTATTCTAATGGCATGTCCTCCAAGTGCATTGCCGGCGACATGCTTATAAACTCCTAATAGATAGAAAAAATCAACTTTAATTGCAATTTAACGTTATTATTATATAATATTATGTAAGATATGATAATACGAATTTTTGAAATTCATTAGTTATTATCATACCTTTATCACCATAACTACAACTAAAAATAAAAGTCTGTATTGAATATAATAATAATATATTTATAATAATTTTAAAATACCAACCTGATTTGTACGCTACAAAGTCTTCATATACAGTAAACGCACCTTCTACTGGTCCATTGTTAAAAATTTCCTGTCTTATTTCATCAACATCATTTCCAATGGAGTATACCAATTTACCTGATACAAACACAATTAGATTAGCACAACTTACAGTGTGTAAATATTCAACGTTAAATACTAACTATTTAAATATAATAAATACATTTAATTTATACAAAACGACAGTTATCCCTTGTTTACTTTTGTCTTTTTATGGGGCGTCATAACAACTATACATCGTTCATGCAATCTTGCAATTGTTTAAGGGGAGTAGCTATCTAAATTATTAGAAACATGGCTTAAATATACAATAAAGTTTATTTAAGCCGTGATTGAAATTTTATAACTTGGTAAAACCAAAGTTATCATATTTGTCGTTTTAAAAACCAAATGATATTTCATCGCTAATTTTCCCCACATATGGATCTTGCTTTGTTTTTTTAATTATTTGGTTGCTATGCAGGGATAGCAGTCTCTCTCTAGACATTTGCCTGCCCATAAAGAGAAGACTCCCGAAGCCGAGTGTTTAACCAGTGGCCACTCTTATTTATTGACCAATTTTTAATTTGCATCGATAATCAACTGTATTTGATTACATTTTTAATTGAAAAACGATTCAATGAATTTTTTAAACAATGATAATAGTGAGGGTAACAATAATGTTTACCTCGATGTAAATCCTCAGCGTAAGATAATTTATACCCATCTTCACATTTCTTAGTACATTTAGGAGTCTTCCCTCCTTCTTTACAAGGCCCTCTTGTTCCGTTTACATGATGCTCACACGGTGCAATTTCATATGGAATACAACCCTGTAAATATAAAATAATTTTAATTGAACAAGATAACATTTTTACAACGCCTATAGCTCATGTCATATTGAATAATTAACACAGATTGATTGTTTTAACCCTTTGACAAGCGATGATATTTATGCACGCTGTTAAAAGTTTTGCCAACGGGATTGTTGACATGTATACCTTCTTACAACCATTTGGGGTTTGTTTTCTTTTTTCTAAAGGGTTTTATCTAATAAACGAAAATTTAAAAACCTAGAGTCAATTATGTGAATTACTCGGTTGGCTTTAATTAGAACTATGATAAAAATGAGTTGTATATAATATACATCATTACTCCAAAATTTGAAATCTTTTTTTTTCTTCGGTTTTACATTCCTAAACCGCTCTTTGAGTAGCATTCTTAATTTACTCCCCGAAGGATTAAGATCTTTAATAGTTAAGCAATTAAATTAAATCAAAAATAAAGTTTTTGGGAAAATTACATAAATAATAATTAACTTGCAAAATCATTTTGGCAGTGGCACACATTGACAGTCATTTCTAGATTGCTTTTAGTTCAGTTTTAGAAATTAATACCTAGCAATATCATAGTACTGAAAAACCTTTGTTACCTATCATATTTCACTGAAGCTTACTGTGGCAAAAGTAAGATAAGTTGATAAATTTTTTTTCTGACCAGTATTCTAAACTTATTAAATGATTGATATTTTAACCTATGTAACAAAGAGTGCACACGCTGTTATTTTACAATAGATTGTTGTTGTGTTTGATGCAAGAAAATTAAAATACATGCTAACTGTCAAATATTGTACAGTAATCCTAGAGAGCTTGCCGTATTTTAAAAATTTTTTACTTACCCTTCATCGAATCAACGAAAATAGTATAAAATGTACATAAGTATGTTAAATTATTGTGATTGTTTTCTTAAAAATTTAAAAAGGTTTCGAAACTGGTTATCAACCAGTCAACATTTTTAGTACATTGTTCTTAATTTATAAATTTAATAAAATATATACGTTACTATTTAAGTATCAAAAGTTTCTATCAAATAAACTAAGTTGGGAGGGGGGTAAAAACAAAAAAAAAAATTAAGATCATATTGTATAAAAACAATATGAAAAAAAAAATTTAATTTCTTATTAAACCCTATGATATATGGAGTGGCTCATGATAAAAAAATCACCTTGTATATATATTTAATAAAATATGTACAATAATATTTATTACTATAATAATTGATATTATCATTATTATTTAACTACATATGTAATACATTTTATCGACAAACTATAAACAACTTGTTTATTGTATGTACCTATTTACGTGTATTATTTTCTACTAGCCGATTCGACCTAACCAGCCGATGTTGGTCTTGTGAAATTAAAGGTCGAAGATCAACTGATAACATTTGGACATTATATTCATTCATTAAATATATTCAACAAAAGATAGATAGGCTAGAAAAGCGCAAGGTAAACATGCTAAAAATCGTCAGTATAATATTATCCCATCGACGAGGTTACCTTTCTAGGGGTTAATAAATTATCAATTTTGAGTCTCTTAAATTTTATTCTTGAAATAATCGTGAGTACAAAACTTAATCTTCAGCCTTAACCAATAAGTACCTAGTAATAATTGTCTGTAACAATAATCTGCGATAATAAGCGTGCTAATAAGTACTTTGTGGTACCATAGTATTTAAGATTCAGTTATAGCTCATTCATTATAAGAGAATATTTAATCCTACATTATATTACCAGATGAGAATTATAAGGGCCTCCGCTGACAATGCCTTTAGTTTTCCAATAGCGCCATGCTGCACCAGGAAAACCACCGTTGCAGCCAAAGCCACAAGACGTACAGCAAGACACTAAGTTTTCAGCAGAAAAACGGAAATTCTTTGTTCCGTTGGAATGTATACAAACACGATCGGACATAGCTTCCACTGCTCCAAAAGCCTAAAGGTAATGTATGAAAAAAAAAATGTAAATACAACTTGACAGGAAAATAAATTGATAAATAAATGTTTTATAAGCGCTTGCCCAACAAGATCCGCACGACCCTTGATCCCGGACTTCTTTAATTGTTGGACAGTTCGGCCAATTTTCTCTAGAATCGAAATTTTCTGGCAAATCGCTTTGTTCACTGTAACTTATCAATCGTTCTAGTGTTTCTTGACTATGGTTTTCTTGGCGCACACCCATTAACCTTCTAAGGTACGACATAGGTGTGTCTGGATGGAAATTTCGTCCGGCCTACAAAAATCAAAGTCCCTTAGTTTTTTCAGTATAACAATATGTATTATAATCAATTAGTTTAATTATATAGTATAATAGTTTATAGTAGGTATAATTATCTATATTCCATCTCAAATAAGAGCGGTAGTCGGCAGAAACCAAAATACGTCATTCCTGGCCGTTCTTGTACGGTATAGACTATAGAGTATAGCAGGGTTGGCCATAACTCGGTTTTTAATAAAAAGTTCAACTCAATTACATTATTTTAAGTGATCGCATTTTTTTTTTTTTTGGTAACCGCCAAACATTTGCTTGGCAAACGAGCTGGTTTTTTTTTTTGGAGAGTTTTTCTTTTACCAACTGAATATTTTAGATGCTTAACAGTCGATTACATACCTTCCATGTATTTTGTATAGAATTTATGTGGTTGATAAACTCGTCCGACAAAGGATCCTTTGGAACGATTCTCAGTGTTGATGTTGTGGCTAATACGCTTAAATAGCAAACGAGAAAAAAACATAGCACCGGCCGCAGCATTTTTTAAAAAAAAGTAATAATTTAACTCGATATTGTTTCGCCAGTTACAAATACAAAGACTGCGAGCAAAATGATAAATATCGGTTGACTATAAACTATTAAATGTAACAAATGGGAATTGCGCACTATATCGATTATGACAAATGATTATATAAATTGGAGTAACGCGCAATTCGTTTGAAAAATGCAATGGATAAAGGTAAACATGATAATACGTGAGACGTTACACTATACACATACAGATAACCTTTTGAACCTTTTTACTCATTGGTAGTACTAACAATTAATTTAGATAATTCATCATAATATTTAATACTGTCTTGGCTTTATTAAAGCTTTTTTGCATTGATTAATCTATAATAATTATAAGTTAGTGTAAAATGATCATATTTACAATGACACTTCTATTTATATGTACATAAATTAGGATACCAAAAACTCGGCTATTTACAAAAAAACATTTTTTAAACCACAAAAATATTGGACGTCTTATAATTTCAGACACAATTTATCTAAATTAATAATACCTGCGTAACACGTTATTAAAAGTTGAACTGAATAAATGTTTGATTAATTTCAAAATCTTTCAATTTCATCGATTTTTTTATAAAGTATTATTAGGCTTCTATTTAGTATTCATTTCTTCAAAACTTAAAAGTGTTTTGTGAACCCAAATTTTGAAAGTTCTACTCCTAATATTTATATTTTACTATAACAATATTTCTTGTTAGTTACTTATATTAGTTTATGGATCGCGCTTGGTAATTTTTATTAAGTTCCTGGTGAATATTTCATAAAAAGTTGGGAAATTCACGATATTTTTTTTTAATATGTTAGATAATATTATACACTTTAGGGGTAGGCATGTACTTTCTTGATTTTTAAGACTCTTCACTGTATGTTCTACATGTCAAGGTGGTTCTAATAAGACCCTAAATAACAAAATTTGTATTTTTTATCTTCATGACAAGCTCTTTATAATGAGTTTTAAATCAACTTGCTATCTTTTATAGTTCAGAGCGAATTGAGAATTAATCGTTTTGAGATAGTAACATGCTGACTTTTTAAAATTCACATCACTTATACCGCGCAGGTATAAAATGAGATTCACATAATATATATTATCTTATATTAAAGATAAGAAAAATATCTTCTTATTTTTACTGTGTAGCGTTTTTGTTGTTTTCCTATTCACTACACACTCATACAGCTTTTTCACTTCAATTACCAAACGAATTTGATTTTTTTAAAAATCAAGCAAGCATCAGAGTTTAATAACTGTTAACTAAAGTTGTAAAGCGATTATTTTTATAACATGTAAATGAAATCGTAAAGGAATTTCCAAATTTAGTATTTTGAAATGTGTTAGGAATAATAAGAAAAATTTAGTACAAAATTAGGTATTATGTATAGTATATTTATATCAATTAGGAGTGTGACTTTAAAAATTCAGATTCGCAATTATGTCCAAACAGAAATTGTATACAAACAAACTTTATTTAAGAACAATAATAGACAAAAAAATTGATGAATAACGAAAGATTTGAAATTTTAGAATTATTCTGATCCTGTGTATAGACAAAGGTAGGATCTAACTTGTATGAATATAACTGTTATATAGCTAAAAAAGATGTAGTTAGACTAAATTATTGTCACCCGGAAAAGTTACTCTAGAAAAGGCCCAAAGCTACATATTAGTATATAAGAGTTGGGTCTGACTCAAAGGAGACTTTGATCTTCATATCCTCTTTTACACCTGATACAAACAGTATTCCTTTGTACTATGTTTATCATCTACATTAAATATGTTTTTTTTTTTAATTTAACTTCAAACATACAATATTTGTTTTTTAATCTTGGAAAATGTAATTAGTTTTAAAATAAATATTGAAAATGTTAATCCTTTGTTTATAAATATTTATTTATTTATTAATTACTGACACTCAAAGGGTAAAGTGTATAAATGTACGTTTATATAATATTTATAGATACGGATAACATAAAAACATACAATGGCACTACAAAAAAAAAAAACTAATAATTTACAATGACAAATTATTAACTTTAATTTTTTCTTAATGAGCTTTTTGCTGAATAGTAATTTTTATTAGGTGGTACTGATAAAGAAGTAGTTGATTTTGTAATGATATTATGAACTTTTAGTTTTATTAGCATGAGTAATAATTCGTGACAGTCAACGTTGCCGTTAATTAGTCTGTGGATAAATGCCACATCACCTAGATTTCAAAGACTCTTTACTTAACTTACTTGAAATATCTTACTTGAATGGATACTCTGTACTTTATCTGGTTATCTCAACACACCTATTTGGTTTGGATTCCATTAAGAACTACACGAGTTTTAATTGATAATTTAGACAATATGCCGAGAAAATAAAATACCTTCAATGGTGTCATTGATTTAAACTAGTAGACCAAATAAATTAAAAATGTTCACACTCATGTATGGAGCAGTTAGTACAATTACTTATTACTATCATCACAGAAATCAGACTGTTAAAATACACAAGCAGGCACGTAACAAATGGTAAACTTGACTGGAAGAGTTGCAAACCACTTCGACGCCCCAGACAGAGATAGATGGATGAAGTGCTGAATGACATGGAACTTCAGATAGGTTGATGCAGAGAAAAATTCAAATTTTATTTTAAAAAAATACTTCAAATCAAACATAAGCATTAAGCAACAAATATGATTATAATCATGGGTAAAACTGTTTATTAAAAATTTACAACTCGAATATTTGTGAACAATGCGAATATTATTTGAATACAGTTAGTACAATTATTGTATAATATAATTTTAGATAAGTTATACTATTGTTTCTTGGTTTAAATTATTGTAACTGTTCCCTAAGTGTTTGTTCCCTAAGAACTTCTCTGTCACTATCACCACTGCCATTTATGATTATTTGCCACCAAACGCCATCAATTTCTCTGTATGATTTGTATGATGTCTTTTTCTCTTTTAGAACACATGTGTCGTAAGAGCCAATCTCAATAACTCTTATAAACGATGTTGGGAATTTTGTACTCATGAACAATGCCATAAAACAACACATCGGTAAAAATGGGATATGCTGTTCACGTCTATCTAAAAAATCAAAAGAATTTTTTTTTTTTATTTAGCCAAATTTACAACTCTTCTTTATAGTGCAAGACACAAGTACGTTACTTTAAAATAAAATAATATTAATGTATGAACGGTGTTCTTATTGAGCAGCCATGCAGTTTAAATAATTATAAGGAAGTATGTGTAAGTTGTCACTAGATATAATAAAAACTCAAATTGGTATTCTAAAGAATTGTAAGCAATAAACAAAACCTTTGAACGCGATTATCGCGAAACATTTGTTTTTTAGTTAATACACTCTTTTTCTGATAGCGTGGAATTTATGTCTATAAAATGTTAAGCATAATTCAAGTATTTTTTGATATTTTTAACATTGGTGTACTCGTTTCTAAAGAACTTATCCGCGTAACAATATTATAGTTAAAAAAACTATAACTACCCTATACTAACACTTACTTAATACACGCATGATTTTATTTTTCAAAGATTCTGTATAAACAAATCTTCTTCCTTCTATAAGAGTGGCCAAATTTTCTAGGTTATCAAAATCTACAAAAAATAATAAATAACTGTGTTGATAACAAATATTAAAAAAAATAACTAGGTAAGTTGATCATTTACGTTGTATACCTGCCACTAGTATTGAAGCACAGAGAAAATATTCTTACTTTATACGAATGCCATTATAAGTGTTTTAATCGATTAAATTCGTATGTTAATAACGAAAGTGGGCAAAAAGAGCGTGGGGTGCGATGGTCAACAGAGTGTTATGATTGCAATGACTGGCTCTATGGTTCGATGCCATTTATAAGAACCTGTGTTGCATGTTGTCTGTCGAGTCACTAGTGTTTGATATCGGTCACGATGTATAGGACTGAACCACTGAACCGATTTCTTTGTACAGCAACTTAATAGATCAGAATTTAAATAAAAAAAATTCACCCCTTCCCCTTCAAAATGCAGTAAAAACCAACAAATTTTATATATTTTTCAACTTAAAAATACGATTCTGTATAATAATTTGTAATATAGCTGTATGTTTAACTTATGTAACAATTTGTTTGACGCCAGGCTTTCTTACTGTTTTTAGTCATATCAGTACTTCCAATGACATCGTGCTACTTTCTGTATTTTTCATCGCCAAGCTGCTTAATAAGATTCTCTCCGACTGCAATAGTATCCTCGCTAAATGGGTTGTTTTTAAACAAATCTTGATATTTTTCAATCAACTGTCCAGTCTCTTTACTTAGGCCTGGTATGTACTTCTTTCTACAGCCACGTGGTACATGTTGTCTAGATATTTTTCTTACTTTATCCGCAAATACTTCGTAGATTTCTGGTGTTGGCTCTAGGTTCTGTATTTCCTTATCATTGGCTTCACTGTATTTTCCCCAATTAGCTTTTTTGTAATTAAATCTCCTCTTGAATGGTATCGTTTCAGACCTAATAACTTCGTTTATTTGTAGTTTTAATGCTCTGTGTTGCGTTTTCGGTATGGGAGTGCATACATCCTTGAGATATTGCTGGCTTATGTTACTACTTACAAATATTAGGTCCTGGTTGTATCCCCTTTTCCGTCGCCCACTATTCAATGAATTTGGAAGTTTGGGATCGTCAATTAAATCGAGTAACTCTGATTCAGCCCATTCTTGAACCTTTTCACCATTTTGATCAGATGCTGAGTATCCACAGCTAGGGCTATGGCTGTTGAAATCTTCAACCACTATTTTTGTAAGGCCATTTTTAAAATTCAATGGTTTTTCAAAAATAAAATCCACATTCAGAAACTTTCGATGTTTTGTGAGGTTGGTCCTAAAAAGGGCCGTTTTAGGGGGCTATTTATTGGCATTTTAGCACCGGTGCTGGCAGAATTAGTCAGCTGTGAAGACACAATATTAACAGAAGCACCACGTGAAGGTCTCTGCCTTGCCCCTCAAAATTAATTAATAAGATTAGTCAATGAAAATTAACAATCGATAAAACTAATCAGGCCTATGTTATTATCTAAAAAAGTCGCATGCAAAACCTGTAAGTAGTTTCGAAGATTACCGTCGATAAAAATTAGAATCTCTCTTTTATATTCATAAAAGAAAAAATATATATAAATGGTTAAAACGTATTACAACACTATATTAACATTTACCTAATGCCCGTCTCAATATATTTTTCAAAGCGTTTTCAGTAAGGCGTCTTCTCCTTTCCGCAAGTTCTGTCAAAGTTAAGTTCGTGAAATCTGCAATAACTATTAAAAGATTGTTTTGTTAAAAAAAAAATTGATTTAAAACTAAATTTGTCGAACGTCTTATTTTCCCTACCCAACTAAAAGTCTATTTTTATCCAATTATTGTTTGACATTAAGAAATTAAAAAAAATGTTTAGCAAATTTCAGTCTTAAAACCGGCCGTAAATAGCATATTTAAGACTGATAAAAAATGCGTAGTTACTTTGGTCTGTAACTTCAGGAATAGGAATTTCTGTAACAAATATATCAAATATCAAACCATTATACAATTAATAAAGCCTGGTTTTCATATTTTATCTACAACGGTTACTCTAAAACTGGGATTAATTAGACTTAGTAATAATTATTATGACAATATTTTACAATTATTACTTATAGCAACGTTCGAAAAAACGGTTTAAATTATACTTCGAGTGGTTATCAAAAGCTTATGCAAAAAATCACAAAGCGCTATGATTAAACTTCAACTTCGTTTTTATTGTTTCTCATTAGAATTATAGAATTATACATTTTACAAATTGTTCGTTGAAAAATGTTAAAGTTTAAATTTACTTAATTCACGTTTGATTTCTTCTTGCATGGATATTTGGATTGCTATTGATACTGTAAATTTAAACAAATAACAATTTTAATGCACATAATATTTCTTGTAATTGACACCAATATGTTTATAATATAAAAATGATTACTTTTCAATATACATGTATATAAACAATGAATAAGTGTAAAGTTTTGTAAATTAAAAAAATATGTATCTATATATATTTATATATCTTGCGGTTACCATTCATAATCCCAATGTATGCTTGTTCTGAAATTAAAACGAGAACATTGTGTATTTAACGAATCTACGACAATCGAGCGAACACTATTGAGCGCGGCGACAATAAGGTAAAAAAAATATATATAAAAAATATTTTTCATTTTTGAAACATATTTTTTGCAAATAAAAAGCACTCGTTACTTATGTACAATATGTATTTATTTGTGTTTTACATTTTTATAATGTACATGTATAAAAATATAAAAAAATAACTTAAAATAACAATATTTATTATTATTATTATTATTGCTGGTTATTATTACCTGTGAGGGCATCGCTCCTAAAACTGCTCGAGTACTAAGTTCGGTGTATTTTGCCGTTGTTCTAAAGTTTGCACAGCTTTTTCTCGCTCAACTTTTTGCAATATCAAAACCATCCGTTAAACTACTACGACCGCTATATTTTGTTCGTAACACATAAATATCACTTGTAGCACAAAAGGTCTCATTATTTTTCGCATTTAATATAACGTTCCATATTATTTACTGACTATATGATATTATACTAAAAAAAATATAGCGAAAAACGTGAATTCACTATTGGCAGTGTACAGTGTACAGCCTACAGAGCTCACCTTGCTAAAAAAAATTGACACGGTCGCGTATTTAATAAGCCACGGAAAGTAAAAACTAAAATAAGTACAGATACAATGTACTCGTATAAATGATAACATTACTATAAGTGTACGATTTTTTTCCCCTTGCGCTCAATTGTCGCCGCGCTCAATATTGTCGGGACACCGCATTTAATAAATATCGAAAAACTGTGTGGAAATATTCCCATAATATGCTATGTAAATTATTACCAGGTACAGCGATCATACGGTTCATAGTATCTGAAATTATTATCATTACATATCATATTAACGATATTGCATTTAATTTTCTATTCTATTATAATATCCAGGAAGACTAGATCAAGGTAAAGAAAATACGTGTGAGTGATGTGATGTGTGTGCGAGTGGATTTTCTAAATGCCTCAAACTTATATATTCTACGCAGATAGTTCCATAAATTCGAAAAAATGAAAACAAAATTTATCGTGTGAATTGACATGAAATGACCCAACTAGGTTGGCTGGATTACAATAAATAAACGAAAATCTATTTTGAAAATAAAATTGATTATAATAAAGTATAACTATTAGACAAAGTTGACAGAGCTAAAATTATTTTTTTTTTTTTTCATAATGATTTCATATAATAGATTTAAGAGAAAAACGTATGACTTGGGTAGGCTAGTAGATCACTTATAAATATGGTGAATTATGGTGGTAATATTTGGATATGGTGAATTTAAAGAGCAACTTATATGTAATTATTATTATTATTATATAATTTTAATTACCTAAACTATAGTTATTACTGTTTACGATTTTTTTGATTACATGTTCCAATCCATCTAGAACAAACAAATGACGGTTTGTGCTATAAAACATTTTTCAAACATAATAGATATATGAATCATCAGAATAAGCACTTACACGCTCTAAATGATGACCTTTTGACTCAACGCTACTCACACTACGTCAACCCCCACCCCCCCCCCCCTTGATCTAAAGTCTAAACCAAGTGCACTAAACTACAGAAACCACTACTTGTAAATATACCATATATATTTTATAAACATCAATTATTTAACATTCATAGCTTCTATATATGTATTTGCACAGTGATCAGTACACTGGTTCTATACACCACTTGCACGTTTCTGAACGGTTTATAGAAACTATATTTTTTAATTTACAAATAACTTGCCACTTTGGAAAACATAACGAAATGTCAGTAAATTAAATTAAAATAAATCTTACTTGCTATCAAGTTATCACCTACATAACAATCATTCAAATTATTGGCAAGCACTATGTGTGCATCTGTAATACATGATTTAAAAAATATGTATAAAAACAGTAAAATTTTAAACTTAACAATTTAATTTTTATAAAATACAAATGTTACTGACTTGTAATGGCAGTATACTTTTTATATTCAGCTAAAAAAAAAGTGAAATATTGAATTTTTTTTTTAATTTTCTTTTAAGTAGGTAAGTGTGAAAATAAAATAATTACCTACCTAAATCATATGTTGAAACATTTGCTATGACAAATGATATTAAAAAACAGAAAAGTTTCATTTTTATCTGTAAATAATAATAAATATATAAGTAATTTGTATTAGTCACAGTGCATCCAGTGCAGAGATGAGAAAATTTTGATATGACAAGGCAGTTTTATAATTGGTTAATATATATTTTTTCTAAATCCACATTACCTTCTAGAACATTAATTTGATTTTTTATACATAAAGGTAGAAATTGTACTTGAAAATACTTTATTGGGCCTAAATTTGTCTGAATTCATTCTAATAAAGATGCACAAAATATAAATCGGAATAGGTGTATGTTAACTATTCAAAACAAATTGTATGACACACTTAGATTACACTAATTAAATTAAAAAAGTTGTTTAACTAAATTTGTAACGTTTTATTAAATATTCGTATTAGAGTTAGCTTTTAAGAAGACATAGTGCACCTAATTTTCAACTTAGCCATGCACACTGCTTACTACTCGGACCCTTCATAGATTTAAAGTAAAAAAAAGGATTATGCTGTAATCAAAATAGGATTAAGACAGTATCTCATACCTATATTAAAACAAATTTTTAAAAATTCAAGTACAAGCGTTATAAACTGTATGAAAGTGTATTTTCCAACTGTACATATTAAGCCAAACAATGAATAAATAAAAAATGTAATAATGCATACTCTCCAAATGTCATTGCAATGCGATTTCATAAAGCAAATGTTGCTTCGAAACTATAACGTACTGTATAAAACTTAATTTAAATCTATGTTTTAAAATAAAAAAAGAACGTCGTTAATCGACACTGAACAAAATAACAAGAAATTTAATATAAAATGAAATACTGTTTTAGGTTTATTACACAGTGGCTTTTAGATTTTGTGTAGGACTGAGAAATTACTTGTACCGCAGTCTAAACTAAATAGGTGGCATAATATCCTGTAGTTACCATCTATTTTTTAAAACATTTAATTTATTTTAGAAATCTATTTTAAATACCTATTCGATTTATTATTAAAAATATAAAGGACATATTATTATGTAATTATAACACTAAACATAATTTAATATCTTAAATACTCATATAATAAATTTAAATATTTTCCTATATTTTAGGATTGATAGTGTTACTTACTTAAATTATTTAGTCGATTAAAATTGTATGAAAATGATCTGCTCGAGTAACTTGTTTAACTGTATTGACGTGACTTTATTGTCACTTCTCTTGTGTAGGGACTTATACTCCGAACGGAAACAGTAAAATTGTAATATATTTTTCAGTGTGACTATGTTAGTATATTTACATAGCTGGTCGATTTTTTCCCTAAATTTTGTTCGATATTATTTACATTACACTGACGTGGAGTCCTAATTATATCTTTTAATGTTTGAGATTAAAGAATTTTCACCATCTTACCGTCAATGCCATTTTATCGATGAACAAATTGTATAGATTTTTGGGTTTTGGTTTCCGCGATAAAAAAATTGACAACTGTCTTTTTTAATGGTTTTAATTACTTCTGGATTTGAAAAAAAATTGACTGAATACTTGTTATAAATAATTGGGAATTTTGGAATATATGATGTACTAAAAATTTAAATAATTTTCTAATAGCCCGACTTTAAGAAACTGATCGAAATTGATGTTGCAGTTTTTACAGCCGTTTTTATTATTCCTTTTAAGTTTTTATTTTGCTTATTTTTCTATGTAACATTCGTTTACAGAAAATATAAATTGCATTTTTTGTTTCGATATTCTATCATATGTATAAGAATATTAAATGTTTGAATCATTTTTTTAATTTTGTTTATAGTACGGGAGGGTAGGGAGATTAAAGTGAATTAACAATAACATTTTAAAATTTTGTTTACTAAAAAAAATCAACTAAAGGATTAGGACCTTTAAACAGTAGATGTATTAACCATATTAGACATTTATACCGGATTGGTAGTTTTAGTTTACGTTGAATAGACCTCACTCCTTGCAAATCCCAGTATTTCTTTTGTTCCAATATCTTCATGATTTCATCCTTCCCAGCAAAAGGTTTTCCAAAGATAATTTGATAAAAGACATCATAAAATATGTTTTTAGGGTCACTGATTATGAATTTAGCATCAGTTTTTCATTATACCTCTTACTTAAGAGGTAAGTTGAGATGGGGGATGGGGGTAAGTTCTAATATTTTTTTAAATGTTAAAATTTGTTGTTTTTATTAAGTATACTTATTTTGTGATTTTATAATAGGTCATATGATGCTAAATTTTAAGGAATTTCTACATAAAAAAAAGTTATTGTGACTACAGATACAAAAAAACATATCATTTTACAACCAATACCTTCTCAGCTATCGCATAGAAAGTAAAAAGATGAAAATGATGTTTTTCGCCATTATGGTCAATAATTAGAAAATTTTATTATATGCAAATATCACATTATGTGTGTCATCTTGTTTTGTAAGGATGGCCAATTGTAACTATAAAGTTTATACTTATTTCAAATAATTCTGTTTTCATATGAAAGAAGGACTTGATAGACTGAGCGTGAAGTAAGAAGTAAATATTGGAGTGAAGTGTAATAAAGAGTGGATATTGTCTTTTTATAGGAAAATATCCTATATATTATAGACATTTTTATATCCGTCCTCTGAAATCGTCCTGTTCACTGACTGTTGTCAAAGAAGGTGGCGATGAGTCATTGGAATGGAATTTTGTAGCTTGTCCAGTGTACATACCTTTAGTTTTATTTAAATTAGTTGTGATATTATTACAATTTACAAATGAGTGCAAATATATTATTCTATGCATACAACTGTATAAAAAACTTAATAATGTTATATACATTCGATATTTCTATAATACACAACAATTATAAATATAAAAGAGTCAGTTCAATAGGACATGACGTATAGCAGTCCCATGAACAAATTATCTGGAAAAATTGACTGGAAGAGCTACAGACTACGTTTATTATGCAATACATTAAAAATGTAAATCTTGGATATTAGTGAACAATGCAAACATTATTTGAATATAATACCAATAGTATTAAATAATTTTAGGTGAGTTACACCATTAATTCATGGTCTAAGTTATAATAATTGGTCTTGAAGTTGTTGTACTGTTTCATCTATGTCATTGGTGTTTACTTCCCACCATGTGCCATCAATTTCTCTGTACACCTTTTTTCGCGTCTTGCCTTTTTAATATTCTATGGTACAAGTTTTATAATTTTCATTTTTCAGAGCCATTAACTCTCGTGCTGGACTTTTTGTGCACAAGAATAATGCTATAAATTGACACATCGCTTGTAATGGAATATGCGTTAGTATATCTAAAGAAAAAAACAATTTTTATTTTAAATAGCCTAATATAGCTTACTAGTACAAAGTATTCAGTTTGCCTTTATAGTGAAATATGCCTATACTACCTTAATTGTAAAGAAAATTATTTATGTATACATATTTTTTTTAATCTAAAAAGGTTAATAATCTCTAAATTAATACTAACCTACTGAACGGACGATTCTATTATTTAAAGCGTCTGTAGAAGAACGCATTCTCCCTTCTACAAGATCGGTCAAATTTCCATAATCTGCAAAATTTAATTAATTACCGTACTGATAACAAGATAAAATAAAATTCAAAGTATCCACACTACAAGCGGATACATAGGCACATGTGTATGTTAGTAGTTTATTAATATTTGGCCTTAATCGATTTATTGGCAACATTCACTTGGTTAGTTATTTTAAATCAATTTAACTCCATCCCCATCCCCATCTACGTCCTAATACCTTATCACTGTTGATATTGGTAAGGTTACCTATTAGGTAGGGTTTTGAGCCCTAGGACCACTCTAAGACTGATTAATCGACAAAAATTTCTATTTTATACAAATAGTAGTGATGTTCATCCGAGGACCGTTTTATATACAACAAAGTTAAACTGACTATCGTGGACAGCGAAAGCGGAGAAAGCAGGAGACCGATGAACGGACTCCTTCTCCTCTTCGGTGGACCAACAGCAGTTAATAAGAAGTCAAGGACCACAAGGGCAATGGTTTAAAGTCACGACAACTTATATTAACACTTACCTGATTTATTACTCGTATTTAAATTTTCTGTAGGAACAAAACGTCCTCTCTTCGGTAAGACATGCAAAAATTAATAAATAACCATTTCGATAAGAAATAATAAAAATAGATAGTGAATTATTTGATCGTGATAATTAATAGTTAATTGCATTACATTTTAAAGAACTGTGATAATATTATATAATTTTATAACGTGCCATTAGTATTAAAACTCAAAGAATGTATTCTTACTTTATTCAAATTACATAACAACACAACAACAAGAGCAGTCAATTAATGCGTTGATTTTCTCTGATATGATATTAGGCAAAAACACCTAAATGGCGAATTGTTTCAAACATACGTTGCTAGAAAAACTATTTTCTTGGATTATTTTATAAAATTTACAAAGTAGTGATCGTGGAGCAATTTAAAAACAACTTTTAGTTAAGTCATAATTTCTATGCGAAATATTGAAATTTAAAAAAAAATTGTATAGTTATTAAATTATCATTGTAGTCGAAAATAAAAATGTAATTTGATCGATACACCAAAGAAGATAATGAACCTATACATAGTTTAATATACAAGTTTCAAGTTTAGGGCAGGAGGAAAGGAACGTGTATTTTTTTTTTTTGTATTTGCGCGCATTTCCAAACCGCACTTCCCCTCCCATCCTAATTTTTAAACTCTTATAACTTTAAAAAGAGTTATCCAAAACTGGTTATCGACAAGTCAAAATTTGTAATACGTTATTCTTTATTCAAAAAGGTTATTAATATATACATTAACGTTTAAGTTTCAAGAATTGCTATCAAAAAACCTAAGTTGGGAGGGGGGTGAAAACAAAAAAAATGTATAATACAAATTTAAATAAACTCACCATTTGTTTATTGGATTAAATATTCTTGGTCATTTTATCATAATATTTGTCCACTTTCCACTAAAATACAAGTTCATTATCTAATATCTTCATTTCAAGGAAAAAAGTAAAAACTAACAATATTTTCGGTGTATTTTTGATTTTATTATACATACTACTTGCGTTGCCCCGGTTATGCGATATGTCAATTTTTATAAAATTTTATCTTAGCTAACGGATTGTACGTTGGTTGCTGAAAGCTACATAATATATCCTTGTCGATTCTAATAGTGAATTCATTGATTAGGTTTTTGAGGTTATAACTTGTGTACAATATATTAAAGATAAAATATATCGTTTGAGTTTTTAAGATATAATTGTAGTTATTGATTCAAGTTTATTCGATTATTTATCATATTCTCAATACATTTGTAATTAATTCAGTGAAAGAAAACTCAAATTTGTATTTAATTTGGTTTTTTTTTATTTCATACTTGATTAACTTATTCTACTTCAATACTCGAAGAGAGATACACGTAAGGAGTGCTGAATAACCTAGAACTTACTAGAAATAAATAATGGCAAAGAAATATCAGTAGTTAGGTAAATGCAAAGGATAAATACACTTTTATTTTTACAAATCGAACCTGTATAATTATGAAATACATTAAAATATTTGACAGCTTGTTATACCTTTTTTTATTTATTTATTTATAACTTATACCTTTGACTCTTGATATTAGTAGTTGAAAAATACAATATTTAACTGTTCTTTAAATAATTCTCCTACATTGGTGATGTCATCGACGTCTACTTCATACCACTTGCCTTCAATTTTTCTGAACTTTTGGTCTTCTGTAATTCCATTCATTAGAGTACAAGTATACATATCACTGTCAATATGAATGTCTGTTGGAGGTAATGCTGGAAATTTTGCACTCATGAACAATGCTATCAAACGACAAATCTGTAGTAAAGTGATTCCCGGTCGAAATCCACCTAAAAAATAATATAGTGTGATTTAATTAATACATTTGTAAGCTAGAACTTATACACCTAACGTTTAGGTGTAGAATTACACTTTATTATAAACCACGTGACAAACGTAACAAGAACAAAGAACACTGCTACGCTGCCATACATGTGAACACGAATTAAAAAAGACACAAACTACGACCAAATGATGGCTGACTAGAGACGTGGGCATCAACAGCGCCCTGTGCCCCACCTAGCGCATTAATTTTGAGAAAATTGCAATTTTCAGATTTTTCCCTTTACTTACACTATAAGACCTACCTTTGTGCCAAATTTTACGTTTCTACCTATACGGGAAGTGTCTTATAATTTTGATGGTCAGTGAGTGAGTGAGTAATAAAAATAACAATTTTGAAATCCTCCCATTTTAAAACGGCTAAATATTAAGGCCTAAATTTTAGACAGTGTCCTAAAATATTTAAGATTGATTTAGGTTTCAAATTTTAAACGCCTACCTTAAGAAGTAGCAGAGATATGAGAGTTAGAAATACCGGGTGAATTGGTTCGTGTAAAGATACACTGGCATTGCTGGAACTTGGCCGGCGCACTGCCGTGCGTTCGGATAAAACAATAATAAGAATATGCATAGTGATCATATTAGACGGCCATGCTATATGCGGTTTAAAGAAGTATGTACTAGTTGTAACTAGACATTTTAAAAGTGTAAAAATAAATGTATATCTAAGATATTAAAGTATTATTATTGGTATTGAAACACAAATATTGTTATAAATCAAATATTTTCATGGCTATACATTTTCATATAAATACTTATATACTTGTATACTTATAAGAAATAATGGCTTAAAAATAATTATAACTCTATATTTATACTTACTTAATGCACGGGTGATTCTATTATTCATATTTAAAGTTTCTGTACCAACAAGTCTTCTCTCTTCCATAAGCTTAGTCACATTTTCAAAATCTGCAAAAATTTATATATTACCGTGTTACACTAAATACTAAAGTAGAAAATAAATTAGTTGCTCAAGTCACGAGTCTTTGTTAATTTAACACTCAATATAATATATCGCTGGCTTATGCAAATGACTTGATTATCATGGAAAAATCACAAGACGGATTAAGATCTTTGTTATGTCGACTGGAAAAAGTAGCACTGAAAGTAAAACTTCATATAAATGAGGACAAAACGGAATACATGGTCGCGGGAAAACGAGATAACAAGAGATTATATCCAACTCTAAATTTTAACAAACGAAATCAATCACAGGATCAATATGGTCAGATAAAAATGAATGGCATCACGATCCCTGTCAAATGATTTGAAAGTATAATTATCCATGAAATTAAATTAATGAAAAAAAGGTACAAATTAGTTTTGTACATTGAACTTAGTATTTCTTTTTTTACGGCGCAACGTCGCCGGAGTTGGAGAGCGAAAAAAAAAGAACCCTAAGATTTCGAAGATTACCTCGGACATTACAAGACTATATTTTTATTTACCTATTGCTCGGCTTAATATATGTTTTAAAGCTATTCCAGTAATACGTCTTCTCGCTGTTCCAAGTATTAACATATTTAATATTTCAAAAGCTGCAAAAAATATTAAGTAATTTAAATAATTTGGTCATAATATATTTTATTTATTTATTTGTTCACAAAAAAAAAAATACTATATAATCATACTATTCTAGCACAATTGAATAGTATAATTTATTTGTGTTTATAATAAGTATATTGTATATAATAACTTTTTCTTCGATTTTTGCGATTAGCTATACCTTGATGCAAAAAAAAAAAAATGTATACATGTTTTTTAAAAAAGCTTACTCTTACTAGTTTGAAGATTAAAAATCGTAGTTTTTTTATTCGTATTATAAAAAGAACGAATGGGTTTTTGAGTACAGTAGTTTTAGAGTAGCCATAATATTTTTATATTCATGCCGCATTTTATTATTGACTTACAATTTGAATATTGTAAGTCAATTTACCCCCACGCTTTAAGTTTATGCGAAAAAAGTGACCCTCTCCAAACATTTTTAATGGATTTCGTCATATGTAAGAAATTGTTTGTGTTTAAATTTATATATTTTTTTCTCTTGCGAAGTGGTAAAAATTAATTTACAAACATGATGTTCAAAATATCACAGTAAATGGTTTATAAGCCTCACTGTCCCTCTCCAACTATAAGTTAATTTTATTAAAATAATTAGCTGACATAACACATTAAAAAAAAAATAGCAAACATTTAGTTATTACCTTGGGTTTCATCAATAAGAGGAACAGCAATATCTGTAACAAATACATCAAATATCAAACCATTGTACAGTTAATAAAACCTGGGTCTTATATTTTATCTCAAATAGTCACTCTAAAACTGAGATTAATTAGACCAATTAATTAACACAAAATATTGTATTAATATGAAATTATTTCTAATAACAACGTTTGTATTAACGGTTTATATATTTTTTCAAACAATCATCGAAATTATAAGAAAAAACATTAAGCCATATGACTGCACCATAGAAAATTCTATTGTATTTCCTTAAAACTAAAAAAATTTAGATTTTAAAAATTATTCACTTAAAACATTCACTTTTATATTTACTTAATTCATCTTTTATTAGACGTTGCAAAGTTTCTTGAATATTTGAAGATACTATAGTTAAAGCAAAATACGTTTTAATATTCATAATATTTCTTATGATTGTATCAATAATGTAATATAAATATGCGGTTACCCAGTAAGTCGTTGTCGTATGGGTATTCTGAAATTAAAACGAAAACATTGTATATATTACGAATATCAAACTGTATGTAAATATTTCTATAGAATGCAATTAAAATTATTACCCGGTACAGTGATCATATTATACATAACTCCTGAAATTTACATTTTATATAATAATGTTAACGGATACAGTTTTCTGTTGTATTTTAAAGAGAAAAACGAAGCTCAAAGTAGAAAACATTATTTGTTTTAGCTATGTTAAAAATAATTGTTTTCCGCTCGATTATGTTTGATATTTAAAAACTTTTTACTACTTTAATTTGTTTTGATATTATATAACAATAACAATTACCTAAACTATAAATTTGGTCATCTTCAATAATTATTTTAATAACATGCTCCAATCCATCTAGAAAAAAACAATCAAAGTTTGAGCTATAAATAAGCTTCAAATAAAATTAAAATATATATATGAATCAACAGAATAAGTCCATGTTTAGACCTTGTTTTAAGTGATAGACATTTAAAATATGGTCCGCCCCCCACCATCATTTAGTTGAATAGTCTCTCCTTAAAACCAAGTGTACTAAATTATAGAAAACATAATTTATCCATATGCTCATATATATTTATAAATGTTTTATTTGTATAACATAGAACAGTCTTCAGTATACTAGTTCTATATATAGAAACTATAATTTTTAATTTTACTTTTTAACTTGTCAGAGAAACATAACTAAATAAATATATTTTAGTATATATTCATTTATAAATAAATCTTACTTGTAGCAAAATTGTCTTCGAAAAGAACATTGTGCATATCATTAGCAAGCTTAATGTATGCATCTGTAATACATTTTTTAAACATTTTTATAAAAACAGAAATTCAAAAAAACTTAAAAATAGTTGCTTTAAAACAAAAATGTTACTGACTTGTAATCAAAATATCCCTTTTATATCCCGCTGTAAATAAAGTGAAATATTTAGTTTGTTTAGAACGTTGAACTATATTAAGTAGGTATGTGTGAAAATAACATAATTACTTAAAATATATGTTGAAACGTTAACAAAGACGAATGATATTAAATAACAAAAAAGTTTCATCATTATCTGTAAATATCCATACACACAAAAATAATATATATTAATCACAATCGCCAATAGATATGTTAAAGCAAATATTGCTATAAACCTATCACAGACTGTATAAAACTCAATGTAAAGGTATGTTTTAGTAAAAAAACTTCTCTAGTTGACGCTCTATTGGTCTGATCAAAATTATTGAGTATATTAAATACTGTTGTAGGCATTTTACACAATACTTTTTAGCTTTTTTGTAGGACTGAGTAATTCATTATACCGCACTCCTAAATAAATGGTATATCTTGTAGTTACCATTCGTTTTTCAAAAAAAAAATTTATTTTAAAAATCTCTCCCAGTCATTGGAGTTTCACCATTGGATGGTATCTTTAAACACGCTATACAAAGCTAATATTATATTTACTAATATGTAAATACAAAGCTGTATATAGCTGTACAAAGCTTATATTATACTTACTGTAATATCATATGCTTATTGTAATGACTTTTAACTGTACTGATTGTATATTTTTCTAATAAAAAAAAAATTATAAATCAATTATAAATGCTTATCCATGATTGTATTTTTACTTAATATATTATAAATATATATAATAACTTAATATATGATTAAAAGTGTACATACAACTTTCGATGCTTGATAGAGTTCCGTAATTAAATTATTAAATCAATTTAACTTTTAAGAAAATTATCAGCTTGTTAAACTGTATGCTGTAACTTTCTTGCTTCTTGTCTATGTTTTCGACTGAAATAGTAAAATTGAAATATATTTTTTGTAGCGTACTTACGTTAGTTTACATAGCTGTTTAATTTTTTTAATACGACTACAATATTTCCTTCGATAAACTAATTCCACGACAGATATTTGAATTATGTTTGCAATATGTAAGACAATTAAATTCCATTTAAGCATGTTGAAATATCGAATTTGCTGTTGCGGTTTTCAGCTTTTCCGCTGTTTTTATTATTCCTTGTTTTTTTTTCTCATCTCTCTGACATTTCTATTTTTCTCACTTTGTAATATTTGCTTATAGAAAACATTGCTTGTGTTAAAACCGACAGGTATGTGTTATTGCTGATTTGCTTCGCAGCCTTTTGTTACAGACGCTGGTTCAATAACAAATTGCTACAAAAGACTTCTGCGTGGCCTTAGAAATTTAAAATGAAAATGTCCGTATTGTAGCAGTAGGTATACATTTTATCGAATAGTGTACTATAATAAATATGCATGACAACCACTTGTATCAAGGAGAATGATTATATTTTTATTTCGAAATTAAAAACTTTTGAAAACAAAATAAATATTCAAAATTAAAAACAATGATTTTCAATACAACTAACTACCGGAAACGGCACAGTTCTAGGCTAGTTAAACAAAAAGTAATTTTTATTAATTAGTTTGTTATGTACACACGTTTCTCACAACCTATAATATTAAATGTAACAATATACTGAGCCGATCATTACATAGAATTATAGACTAGTAGGACAGGTAGATAATTAAAAGAAAATAATAGAATCAACTCGGACTGATTAGTATTATAATAAACACTTTTCAGACAAAACACTAATGACTACATACCTGGGATAACCTATGGCTAAGCCAACCAGTATTCCTGACGGTCTAGTAAGATGAAAACTTGTAGCACACAGTGAACAATCAATCATCTACACAATCAATGGGTGCCTAAGCATATGGTTAGAGTGATACAATGTCTCCCTGTTGGGGTTTTGCACAAGGTTAGCACGTGGTCTAATTGACGTCAGCAAATGTATTGGCTTACATTAAATTATTTATTTGATCTGACAATATGATACCAGACACAATAAAAACAAATATACCTATATATAGCATTTTTTTTTAACATAGTTTATTATTTTTACGAAGTTGCAATTTGAGGGAATTGGTCCAGTATTATAAGAGTTACAGTGTACACAGAAACAATAAAAACTTATATCGTAATAAAACCAATAGCCTCTCAGCTCCACACTGAAGCAGAAACATTTTTCTAGATTTTTGAGTAAAAGACTTCAGAACGCCACATATTACATGTTATAAGGGGTCACTGATTTCGTACTCGTACAAAAACACAACAAAATCACTCTAAATAAATGTCCATACATACAATGTCATGACTTGACCACTTTTTTTTGTTTTTTTAATGTATTTTTAATATTTATATCATAATACACAAAGTTTTTTAATTTGATATTTTTTTTGTTTTTTTGTTCTTTAACATTATGTAAACACTGATACCAGTGGTTTTGAGTAGGGCATAAAACGAGGCCATTAGCTAACTTAACTCCCGGTTATTGTTTGGTTATTACCAAGCGTTATTAAACCAAAATATACTTCCATAAACCGACTACATATTATCTGTACATCAATAAGTGTGGAAGTATATTTTGGTATACCGATTTTTTTTTATAATCATATAACATGTGTTAAAATTGTGCAAATCATTTTATACAAACAAGTACAGAATTACTACAAAAAAATATTTATGATATCGCCATTAAATGTATGTTTGAGGCTAATGAGTAAGAAACGTTTAAAATGACATCATACAACAATAATTGTAAACCTTATATCATAAATCATAGACAACAAAAAAACAAAATACACTCCTTACATTCTGTTGCCGCTATCGGTTAAGACCGATGAAGGTTGCCTTGACGGCTGTAAGTTAGGCAGCGAATTATGCGTGTGAATGATTTATTTGAGGGAATTTAAATATATTTAAACGACCAAAAATGTGTTTATGTTTTGTAATACACTCAACTAAAAGAGGCCAACAGACCCATTTATTTAAATCTGGTAGTTGATTTATTTAAATCAACTACAAAAAGCCATTAAAACAAGATTCGATATAATTAAATATAAGAACGTAGAATAGGCACTTAGCCGTTATTATGACTAACATTTAAACAACCATAACATGTCACATACCTTAATGATAGAAACAGTATCCGAGTTGGTTCTACCCATGTGACCAGCCTAATGTCCGTAAATATAAAAGAATGTATACCAGTGTCGCCATCTAGCACATAATACAAGAGCCGCCGTGCTGCGATATCACAAATCAAATGGTGATAACACAAACAATTTTAACCTAATCACTGCGTGAACACGTTATTACACTTATACTTATCACACTTAGTGCGCTTGCACTAATTCCTAAAATTATTACGAATATCACCGATGGAATACCATATAAAGCCAATAAAATATTCTTAAAATCTATAGTGCAAACATTAGTTTTACGAGTAATGTTAAAAACCAATATAATAAAAAAAAACTCCTCGTCAAAAATGATACGTTATCGTGTTTAAAAAAATAACAGCTATGTAAATAAATTAACATAGATACCGTGTTCATTATACAGTTTCGAATTTTACCTACAGTTTCGATCGTCATAAAAATCTATCCACAAGTCACGAGAAAATCACTTAAAAACAGTTCGTTTCGTTTTAATATTTTTAGGCGAGTAGCACAGTATCAACAAAACGTCAAATATTTGTAAGTACGTTTTATTATACATTTTGTTAAGTTGGCATGAATTTAAAAAGAAAAACTTATATTTTTTGCCAATTTTTCCCTATTCCAACAAACTACTGCAGTCCGCATGTGTGTAGTTATGTAAAACAATTATTACCCTGCCCTTCGTAGTTTTTTTTATTTGATTATGGTAATTTATTGATAACGATTTAGAAACGAAATGCTGTGCTTTTAAATCGCAATTCGCGTCGCCGTCATCAGTTGCATGGTGCTACTGTTATAATATACGTGGAAAAGTTCAAAGTTCAAGTAACCATAAATTTTGAACTTTTGGAATCTGCCAATTTCTGACTTCAGATTTGTAATCAGCGCTAAAAAACACTACAAGATTACAATAAAAAATTCGCAAATAAAAGAGTGTGTGGTAGAGTAAATTTGTTCCTTAAGTTTATCTAATTATTAATTTTTGTGTTACTATATCTGCCCGGGATAACATTTTAACCACTAGGTCGATTTTATCAAAAAGAACAAAATTCTAAAAAAATCAACTTTTCCTAATCAAAATTATGAAAACCCGCTTAAATTCAACTCGTAATTTTTAACCTAAAAATAGGACACGCTATAACTTTTCGAAATATAGTTTTTTTTCATACCACATGGATACAGTATTAGACACACAATCAGCTGATAGGATATCAGCTGATTGTGTGTCTAATACATTAACACACGGGGAACGCCGGGTCGGGACAGCTTGTGTCATTATAAAAATGTCAATATGTCTTTTAAATGGGGATCTTTTGAAAATTTGAGTCAAGCCATGAGTTCGATCTATCCTAACCTAACCTGAATTTGAGAGATCAAGAGAAATGCGGTGAAGAAGTGAAGGTGGGGATGGGATGGAAGGAAAAGAGATTGCAGAGAAGGGAAAAGATAGAGTGGGTTAGGGAAGAATACGAATGGGCGGATAAAAATTGGGTAGAAGAGGAAAAAAGAATCATGTGTACGGGAAGATATGGAAGGAACATGAACATTAGAATTAAAATTACAATAACACATTTAAAGAGAATTATCTATTATATTAAAATTGCTTATAAGTTATAATAAAGGTATATGTACCGTAAGACATATTCAAGAAATATTCCTTCAAGATATTTGGATGCAGCACAAAAAACAGGGAAAACCCATTTTTTCATATTTACTTTTGGACTTAAGATTTTAAACTCGATTAATAAAGATAATTCTAGTGAGGGTTCTAATAAATACATACCTACAATTTTCTCAGAAACCTATATTATAGTATCTTTTTAATACAATAACATAATAATACAAAAAAACACCAAATGCTACACATCCTAACACACATTTCTAAAGTGAAAAAAAATCAAACATAATCTAATATTTTGGGAATAATATTTTTTGACCACATATCTTATTTTATTTTACAATCAAAAACTAACAAAAGAAATAGATTCGAATCCTTTTAGGGTAAGGAATATTAAAAAAAAATACCTACAGAACTTTGGAAGTAATAGACTGTTTTTCAAAAACTTATAGCGTGAAGTAATTAATTTTAATTGTATCAACTATATCTAATAAATAGACTTTTATGTTTGTTATTATGTGTAGATAAAAATGAAGCTCTGCTGCATTTTATTAATATCATTTGCCTTAAAAAATGTTTTTGCGCCAACATTTTTAAGAAGTAATTATTTTATTTTAAACCTTAGCTCGTACTCAAGTTAGTTAAAAATAAAATAAAAATAAAACATTTAACGTTTTTTCACAGTTGATTTTAAAAGGCAGATTATCCTAACAAGTCAGTAACATTTTCTTAGCTACAATCCTGATTTTTATCACATTTCTTTAATAATTTATTGCAGATGATTATATCTATCAGGCCGCTAGTAAAAGTAAGATTTATTTAAAATAATTATACTTAGTTGTAATTCGTTAAATTCACCCAAAAGCCAAATTATTTATAAATAAAAAATTATTGTTTCTATAATATGATCAGATCAAGAGTGCATGAGGTGTATAACAGTGTTTCATACATTGTGTAACTACTTAGTTTAATATAACATATTGTGTATATTATTTATACCAAAAGTTAAGTTTCTACAATTTACTTTAAACACACTTATGGTTAGCTAAAAGCAGCGGCTATTTCACACAGTGTACTTTTTTATGGTTCTTATACCTATAAGGATATTGTTTGAATTTGTTATTGTGACCTAAATCATTATTTATTTTTTCTAGATAAATTGCATACTGTTGTCAAAAATATTGTGTGTGGACCATCATCTGTTGGTACTTATAATCATATAATAAAAAAAATGAAAAAAAGATAAAGGTTACTGGTAAAAAGAAATTTGAAATGTATATAAAAACTGCAACAACAAGTATTTGTCTCTATGTAAATTAATGAAAGATATAAAAATTGTCTAATTACCTATTCTAAAGTCTAAATAGAATCTATTAGACAAATAGCACTAATATTATCTCTTTTGACCTCATCAAATAGTTAAATTTTATTTTACTCGCTAGATCTGCTTCAATTCAACTACTTTATCATCACAGTGTCCTCTCTATTTATCATAATTTACCGAAGCACATTTCTTTCGAAATAATAGTCCCATGATGTTTTTTCTACCTTAACTCATATCTTCTAATTTATATTTAAATATGAAATTAAATCCAACGTCAATAAGTTTTTAATCCATGTAAGTTATTTAAATTTCAGAGGATGTTGCTATTATGTTGGCTGTACCAGGTAATAATATTACATAACTTGTGGACATATTTTCACACAGTTTTTTGTTTATCATTAAATATAAAATGTTTCTTTTAATTTCAGAACTTGCACACACTCGTTATTTAGGACGTAATTACATATTCATATTTATACATCACTAATATCATACATTGATCTTTATCATAATATAAAATGTACGTTAAAAATTAATACATTCTGAATTTTAGAATGCATAAATCGAGAAACTAGTATTGGAACAGAACTAAACATAGTATTACGTAAATATAAAATGTATCATACTTATGCGAACTTTTTCCAAAATTACTTAGTCCTAAAGAGACAATAAAAATATGAATCGAGTTCAAGTTGTAAAGTTATATGTTTTTGCTTGAAATTTTGATGTTACCTCGAAACATATTTGAAAACAAGGCTACTAGAAACAATTTTAAGTTATATAATATTTTACATGGATAAATTGGTCTCAGTTTTAGAGTGACTGTATTTATAGATAAAATATAAAATAAATTTGACTCTAAATTTTGGAGAAATTATATGAGATTAAGTAGATTTACCTTCAGTCTACTTTCAGTCAGATTTTGAGCCTTAAAATTACACTTCAAAAAGCGAAGTAAAGTAAAAGCTTCTACCTCTGCTAAGGGCTAATAATATATTTTATATTTTACAAATTTGGAAACAATTCGACTGTTTTAAAAAGCTTTAGGAAACGGTAATTTTCCAGATTTCTGCAAAGCAGTTTTCACAATTCCTGCTAGATTCCCCAAAACTTGTCTGGAAATTGCTGACAGTATACACATCTACTGCAGCGCCATAGTAGCTTATAAAAGGCCCAAAAAAAAGTTTCTGTCTAATGGCTGCAATGGGGTGGCAAACTTAGCATCTGGTGGCTATAAATTGGCAAAAGTAAATGCCTCTTAATTTATATGGGACACATGGTTATTAAGAATCAAAAGAACTAGGCGGTCTGGGAGCTCAAAAAATTTACTTCATTGTGCAAACTAAATGTTCTCAGCTAAAATAATATGAACTAGTTGTATAACTATCTTATATTTTTCCAGCATTACATATTCCTGATATTTCTGACGACGGTAATTACTCATTTATTCGATAAATAGCGTTATAATTAGCGTTAATTGATTTGATTGATTTTTAAAAATAACAGCCTACTGCATCACCTTAAAAGTATGGGGAAAAAATTGATGTTTTATTTAACTCTGTTAGAATAATAACACCTTAACGTACTTTTTGAAATTTGTACGTTTCGGTTATTGTCTGTAAGAAATTCTAAGTTTGATTTATTATAGTTAAACTTGTGCCAATAGTCTTAGATACTGCATAAGCATTTTTATGATAAAGAAATATCAGCAAAGCGTTTTTCATTGATTGACAAATGTGTTGGCTTCTTTGACTTTACTTTGTTAACTCTTACCATTTATTTTTTAACTTTTTCAAAAAAAAAACTGAGAAATATGTAAAACTTTTGGGTTTTTTCACAATTATAAAATGGAAATGTGTATCCCTCAAGTTTCATAGACTGTTCAACGAACAAAACTTTCATCAACTATTGCTGTGTGATCAAAAAATGCCTTGAAATCTTTTCTTAACATCAACCAATGTCGACTAAAACGTTTTAAGTTGTTTGAGTTTAAATATAAAAATTTTACTTTCTTTGATTATTATCAATGCAGGTTGCACAAAAAATAACTAATATTACAGTTCTGTGTAATGTTATGCAATTATATCACAAAGAACTAACTTAACTTTAATTGATTGTTCGTAATTAGTACAGTTATTTATTAACATTTCCAGTTGCTCAACGCTTTGAACTTGAAACGCTTGGGAAGATACGAAGAAATCAAACTAAAAAGGCTATAAAAACTTTAATCATCAGTGCGATAAGTAAATATTCTTACATAGTTGAAACGGTTTTGCTTTCTTAACCGTATAAATAGGAATACTAATTAAACAAATTTATAAGAATATTTCTTATGTCAATAATAATTTTCTAAAAAATAATACTGATAATTAATTTACACGTGTACGTATCACAGAATTATCAGTAGAAAACGCTTACCTTTTGGTGAACTATTATAGGATTATTTCGATGTATAGTTTGTATCTAGATGTATAAATTACTACAAAGTTGCCTACTCATACGAGTAGACTGGTGCAAAAAGGGTAAACATTTTTTTATTTTTATTTTAAGGTGGAAACGAACCGGATATCGATTTCCCCATTCTGTGTCGCTTCATCGCATTGTTCAGATGTACAGTCTACCATAGTACTGAATTATATACAAAAAAAGTTACTGTTGACAATAATGATACCTGCACCATCATTACTGTACGCACTGTTGCCAAATATAAAATCTTAGAGAACGAAATTTGGCAAGTAAACTTTATAAATTCTCAAAAAATACAAAAACTTAGTGAGGAGTTAGATATCATCATAATGGACGAAACGGTTCAATAGTTAAGCTGATTTAAAACTATATTAAAGTGCACTTATATTCAAATTGACAATTGATTGTTTGTATTTTGTAATAAACAATTTTCAGCATTTTAAACACATTTGTTAATTTTTAGTTTTTTCCATACATAACTGTAAAAAATCCATTAGAACTTACATCAACGACATGTTTGTATAACATTGGTCTTATTCAAAAATAAAAATAAATAATTTATAAAATGTAAGAAAATATACATACATAAATAGCAGTACTATAACTAATAATTTTAACTTTAGAAGGTTGGCATTATAAACATATTATTTAAGAAAAATGAAAAATGTTTATAAAATTATTCGAAAACCCATTTTGTTGGAGTTCTTTGTAATTTGGACTACTGCAGTTAATTTGTTATTATGTATTGCCAAAATGTTAAAACTTTTTTTTTTTAATTAAAATTTTGATTAACACAAACTATCAGAAACAAAATATGGCTTTGACTTTTGTTTTATTTATAATTTTTGTGACATTTGAACAGAATAAATTGTGTAAAACGTATATGAAATAGCTTGCGAGGTTGAAAAAACGGTTATAATCGCAGCTGTGCGCCAAAAACAAATAACGAAAAGATAAAACAAATTATAAATCATTGTAAAACGGGTGTTATACCGATCGGCTGTGTCACTTTTAAGTAAGCAAAATTGGAAAAAAACAACGTGTGTTAATAATTTGTAATAGAAATGTCGTAGAAATAATCGTATACTTTAAATAAATGGAGAAAACGAACGTATTTAATAGTTTTGCGATTTGAAAATCGTACATAGTTCTTAGGCCATATAAATCGAATTTAAATTTAAATTCACTAATATAGCTGTCAAAAAAAAATAGTCTAAAATCCATGTCACTGTAATGTAGATATTAAAAAATGTACCAGCTATTTTAAAAAAATAAACAACTGTACGTTTAATATTAACGGGACATAGAAAATATTAGGGATCATCAGACTTTTCTAATAATTTTTTACCATCATTAATTGTAGCTCAAATAAACAACATAACAAAAATACTTGGGTACCTGTTGATTTTAAATAACCCTCACAGCATCCTTAAATTGTCAAAATGTAACTATCCCTTTTTTTTTTGCTTAATAAAATTAAGCATTAATAATGGGGGGATAGAAGTAAAGAAATAGGAATTGTAGCAAAGGACTTGAATGGCCTATAATAAGTCAACAAAGTATATGACCGAAAGTATTGAATTTAATTTCAAATCGAAATTGTATTTAAAGTAAAAATTAATACAATTGTACAGCATTATAATATTAATACTACATAAGCAACAAATTGTATAGCTGTTAGCAAAACTGTTTACTTCGAAATACATATTAAATGAATATTGACATTGTAGACATTAGTGCAATATACAAAAATAATTTTTTTTATTAGAAACCCATTCTTTTGTAAGACTTATAATTCTGATTTCTAGCCTAAACTATGATAGCTGTGCCCAAAGTGGTTCTAATTTCTTATCAATATAATCGTCAGCTACTTGCCAGAGTTGGCCTTCGAAGACTCTGTATTTTATATAATGATCGGCCCTATCCCATAAGATACAAAGAATATTAGGGTAGATTTCATGAGTTGTTGTAAATATTTTGCCGACTTTTGTACTCATCATCAATCCTATTAAATGACATAATTGGCTTAGAGTTGCATTTGGTCTGTATCCACCTAAAATAAATAACGAAAAATATATTTTTTATATTACACATTTAAGCGTTATAGCTAGTATTTTTTTTTTTTTTGAACACGCAAGACACAGCTATTGCTTGTGTATAAAAAATAATACAATGTATATGGTGTCCATAGAGTACAACCATCTAATAATGCAATACAATAATAACAATAATAATACAACAAAAATTATACATATAAACTTCAATAATTTTTCAAATATCAGACATTTGGCCGGACACCGTATAACCTAACCTAATCGTATATCATAGCTATTTTTCATTAAAATATTACCAAAATACATCTAAAAAAGAAAACCCATAGTTTGATTCGCAAATATTAACTTTAATAGAAACACAGAAAATTTAATACTGACAAAACCTTTTCATTGTAACTACAGTCTTGCTTTGTCCAGTATAACTGTAATGTATGATAAGTATAATATTTGTGGTGACTAATGTTATATTTGGTATGTACAAATTTGAAGTCTAGTCACCACTCAAAAGGTTAATTTAATAAAAAAAACTAGTACGGTATAAACCATCTCAGCAAGAAAGTATTATACGGAAGAGAATAGTAGTAGTAAGTAGTATGTGAATGAGTAAGAGAGGTTCAGTGTTTACAAATAAGAATACAAATATGTGCTTAAAAATAAAATTTTAATATTAGGGTGAATACGATTATATTAATCTTACGTCTCTCTATAAAATTAAATGCCTTAGTTAACCATATATCCTAATTAACTTGTTGATTATTGGTTCACTCACGCATAGCAACCTGGAAATTGTCTACCTCTTTCTTTTCCCCTTTTTTTTTTTTGGGGGGGGGGGGGTCCTTAATAACAAAAAAAGTTTCTCTGCCAATTTTTGAGCAAATGTTATATGTTATGGTTCCATTCTAGATCTATGTCAATTTTTTGGGTTTTCTTGTTGAAGAAAATGGGTTGAACTTTTTAAAGTTAATAAATATATATCTAAACATATATTTATTTACATACATTTGTGTGTTAATGTGATAATAATATATCTATAATATTTTTTGCTCAATAAATATGTTTACTTAATGCACGTCTGATTATATTTTTTAAAGCTGGTCCAGTAAGAAGTCTTCTATCTTCTCCAAGCTGTGTCAAATCTAAGTCTTCAAAATCTGCAAAAATTTAAAAAAAAAATTCCGTGATAACAAACAATAAAATTAAATATTTTTCTTGTGGTACATAGTTGTATATAATTTGAAAGAACTGTGATATTACAAAATTGTTGCACAACGTGCTATTAGTAACCAAACTTGAACAGAGTAAAGAAAGACAGTGGCATTTTGAACCACCTTGTTTATTTTTTTATTATGAGGTTAATAATACGGATATTATTAATACGGATGTAGTGATCTGATTGACGCTTAGGGAAAATTCTACAATCAGATGTTTCATGTTGGTAACATAAAAATGTGTTTTTCAAATAAAACAATAGTTTAGCTATTTCAAAATTATTGCACTGTCAAACAAAAATGATTTTTTTAAATATTAGTTAAATAAGACGAAATTATATATTTTTCTTTTTATAAATGTTTTGCATAAAGTAAATAGGCCTCATATACAATTTGTACAGGAACTGATAAGTTTTGCAGCAAAAGTGGAAATAATACGTTTTTATAAAAAATTTAGGAAATACAACCTTTTGGAAAAATAAATTTTGTGAAGTTGAAAAATGTTAGCTATTGCTTAAAGAGTTATAAAAGTCTCACTTTCTCTCCTTAATCAAGAGTTTACTTTATTGTCATTATTATTTTGTATATAAACCAAAAAAAAAATGTATTTCAATTTGAAAAAAACCTTTAAAAGCTATTTATCAATATTATCGAATGTATAATTACTTTGAATCTCAACATGAGGCACAGGAATAGCTATAAAAAAATACAAAATATCAAATCAGTAAATACAGTTAATTAAACCCGATTTTCTATATTTTAATTCGTAACTTTCACTCTAAAACTGAGAATTATTAGAACAATTCTTCAATGTACAATATTGTATAAACATTATATTACTATTATGATTTTATACAAATTCCATTCCATTTCAAATGATCATCAATAGCTTAGGCAAAAATAATAAGGCTTTGTGACTTAGAACTTAAATTCAAATGCTTTCAGTTTTCTTTAAAATTAAGTAATAATAAATTTGGAAAAATGTTCGGCTATAAATTGTATATTTACATAATTTAACTGTTATTTCTGCTTGCATAGCTCTCTGGCGATTTATGTGTTCTGCAATATGTTCTGAAAAATCAATATTAATAATAATTTACATGCTTCTACGATTGAACCAAATATATATATTATAGTAAGTATGTGTTAAATGTGATATATGATACATGTGTATGTACAATCTAATTGTGTAAATGATTTTCCTAATATACAGTTATATAAATAATGAATCTGTGAAATTTAAAATACGGTTACCCTGTGTGTTTGTAAGGTTAACCTTATCTGAAATTAATACGAATACATGTTGTATATTATTAACATAAAATTACTGTGTGGACATATTTCCATAAAAAACAATGGGAATTATTACCTGGTAAAGCGATCATAAAATACAATTGGTCTGAAACAAACATTACATAAAATAATTAAATTGGATTTTATATTCTGTTCTGTTAAAAATTAAAAGATAAATGTCAAGGTAGAAAAATCATGCGCATTAAAAATTCTTCAAGAAAAATGCTTCGATTTGATGAAATAGATTGGAAACTTTAGTGTTGTATAATGACTGAATTGAAACAGAAGTGGCGAGCACAATACATTCTATATTGATTGATTGATTGAAATCTTATACAAGTGCTGTTTTTAATTAAAGTTTCGATTTAGACCTAGATTAAGATTATTAGCGTAAAATTTAAGATTTGTGCAAATAAGAAGATACATTTTCATATTGATGAAATTGTTATAATATGATTTTAAAATATTTATTTTTTCTAACATCCTTTTACTTAAATATTATATTGTTATAACTACCTATCCCGTATTCGTGTCCATAAGCAATTGATTCAATAACATGCTCTAATACATCTATAATTAAAAACATGTAGGTTTAAGGTGGACATTAAGTTGTAACAATACATTGAAACTATAATTTGTAGTCCATAAATTATTTGGCCATTAGGTATACCGTATACATAACAAAAAAAATCATAATTTTATATTATATTAGTATATTAATTTAAAAAATACATCTTACTTTCAACTCCAGGAATATGATTATAGTTAGAAGCTTGCTGGATGTGAATATCTGTAGTGTGTCATTTTTAAATTATAAAACCAATAAAGTTATAAATGTTAAATTGTGTTAAATAAAATATTACTGACTTGTAATGACAATTTCTTCTATATAGTTCGCTGTAAGAAACAGGGAAATATGGGATTTTTTAAAAATGTTTAGCTGCTAATTTAATTAGATAAATATGAAAGCGAAATAACTACTTGGTGCTAGTTTAACTGCAAAAACATTTACATAGAAAAATGGTATCAAAACACAGAAAGTTTTCATTTTTATCTGCAAATAATAATAAACATAAGATACATATAAATAAGCCAAAGTTATCTCACGTGCGTAAAAAAGAAAATGTGGGTTTAACAATACTGACTATTATTTAATACATTTTTTATTTTTTGTAATAGTCACATAAATCTCCTATACCTACTTCTTAATGGATTTTTCTTATGGAAAGTCAAAAATCGTACTTGTAACATAATTTTCTATGATTTTTTTAAATATTTTTTTATTTTAAATTCATTGTTATTACATACAAATAAGTATCACATATTAAACATAGCGATTATCTACCTACTCAAAGCAAGCTTGGATTGTAGGTAGAGAGCGACAGTTTACTCGAATTTATCTTTGAATAAAATGAATCTAATAGTATTTCCGAAGTAAGTATAATTTGTACAGACCTACATTAATATAGAAAACATTAATTAAAAATGCTGAAAACCAGAAATATATAAAATAGGTACCTAGTTTGTGTATTTTTAAAAGGAAATCGAAAATAGGGTTCTGGTAATTGTTCAAAATGTAATGTACAAAATTACTGGGTTATGCTAATTGAAATAAAAATAAAAATAGATACATATTTAAATTTTAAAATACAAAATACTTTAAGAAGTTCTACACACTGTTTTCCAACTTTAAATATCTTCACTACTTATAATGCCTTTTACTCAACCCGAGATGTATTTTAAACAAAAACATTCGATTTATGTATTTGATTGAATGAAAACGATATTTAAGAGAGTATTTCATATTTATTTAAACAAAAAAGTCTACAGAAATAAAGTTATGACCGTTTTAAAATATTTTAAAAAATATCTTTTTCAGCAGTACACATTAAGCAAACAACAGACACAGTTGTAAAACCAATACCTTCCGCGACTAGACTAAAGTTTAGTTTCTATCGTCCTTAACGCTGCGAATAAATACTTAAAAATATAGTTTTAAAACATTAATAAGTATTTTAAATACATGTATAGAAAACATTTTCCCATACTTGACAAAAAGCGTAATTACAACTTTTGGTGTTCATATCTTGGAGTAATACTTACTTTGATGATTAAAATTGACAGAATTCCCAAGACAATAATCTACTTGATCAGTTTCTAAGGCTAACCGTTCCAACCGAAACAGTCGAGTCTAAATATATTTAGCTGCCTATTTTGATTTATTTACATAACGGAGGTTTTTTAATAGGATCACGTGTATAAACTCTGACACGAAGTTAAAAATAACTAATGTTTGCATTAAAGCATTTCATCTAAATTTGATTATGTCATCTTAGAAAATTTTATGAAATATACAATTTTAAAATTCCTGCATATTTTTTGTTTGGTAGGTTCGGTTTTGCTAGTAATCTTCATAATACATAGAATTCGGGGCATCGTGGTTTAGGGTAGGAATTATTAGTTTATAAATTACAAGATGTGGATACAATGGCAACAAATTATTTTTAAAAAACCATCAACCCTAACCGTAACCGCTCAAATTGCATACAAAATATCATTTTAATCACATATTGGATTTTTTTTTATTCATTTAGTTGTTACATTTGAAAAAATATTATAAGTTTTGGAAAACTTGTAAGCATGACTAAACTATTAAATATAAAATTCAAAATATCATTAATATTATGCTCCCATATTAAACAGTACAAAATACTTTTCAAATTTTAATGAAGATATTAAAAACTATTGCGGCAATAACGTATAAGATGTTATTTTTTATACGTTCCTTTCTGAATTTGAATTTATTAGAAAACTTTAGGATTATTTTTATTAAATTTTGCCAACGTCACGTAGGTAGGTACATTAAAAAAAAAATTATCACTATAACATGTGTTTATATTCGTTTCGAATTGATTTAAGTTGTACGAGTAGGTATATGTTAACAAATACATATTCAGAAGTTTTATATCAAACTAATACGGCGGTAAATCATTTTGCTTTTGCAACTGTCATCCAAAAAATAAAACCTGTAGCTATTAAATGTAATATTCTAGCTTTAAGGTTCAAAACTACTTACGGCAACCGTGTAGATTTTATAAGGGTTCTGAGCAAAAACTATCACAATAAAGAGTTTACTATACATATGTTTCAACAACTATGGGCTCTAGTCCAATATTTACACCAATTTTTAATAGAAATTATCAACTCGATGCTTTCGTCGATGGTTTCAAGTTGAATATTTGTATTTTAGTCATAACTAATTACATCACTCGCCGTGCAAGCCAATCAAATATTGTAATTACACCAATCAATTTATGAGATCAACAGTTTGTGAACTCTAAACAAAATATATTGCCATTGGGCATAGATTCAGTTAGATATAGTTATTTAATAATTTAATGAGCTTTATGCTAGCTGTTAGTGATAATATAAAATCACCGCTCTGTTAAAAATAGTTAAACATTTACTCTGTCCCACGAAAGAACGGAACTGCGTGGAAACCAAAACGCTCAACTCTCGTATGTGCCTGCGTAGACAAAAATAAACAAGAGTAACACGTTTGGGTTTTGCACAGTACCGTTCTCTCGTGAGACAGAGTATAGAATGTGTTACATTTAGCGTTTTTTTCAAGTTTTTTAAAAGACTTGAATGAAACTAGGCCTTATTAACACACTCTAGGTTTAAACTAAGACATACACAATACTATTAGAATTATAAATAACACTACACGAGTAACAAATTATATAACCACGAACAAAAGTTTTTATTATGTTACATGTAACATTGTATACGTTTAGTGCAATATGCAAATCATTTTTCAATAAAATAACCGTACTATGTAATTTTAAAATAGTTATACTTATGATTTCTAGTCTAAATTATTAAACCAGCTGCGCCGAAAGTGGTTCTATTTCCGTATCGGTATCGTTGTCGACTTGATAAAATATACCTTTGATGGTTTTGTATTTTATATAATGATCGGCTCCATCCCATAACAAACAAATGACAGGGTCAGTATTAAAAACTGTTGTAAATACTTTGGCGATTTTCGTACTGGCCATCAGTCCTATATAACTACATAACTGACTAAAAGTGGTATCTGGATCGTCCAAACCTAAAAAATAAAAAAATCTATTTTTTTATTACCAAGTTAGGGTGAATAGCTACTTTTTCTTTTTAATGAGCAAGACACAACTATTACAAGTGTATAAAAATATAATACAATATGTTATATTTTTTTTTTAATGTCAAACATTTAGCCGGACACCGTTTAACCTGTTGTTCATAAAATCTTAACAAAATACATTTAAAAATAATCAAAAAACCGCAGTTAGATCCATAATCGATTTTAGAAAGAAACTCAGAAGAATTTGTATTGACGAAACCGTTTCATTGAAACTGAAGTCATGCCTTCATTACAATACAACTGTGTTTTAGAAGAAAAGTATGGGTGTGGTTAGGTAATTATAGATTATATTAATATATTTAAATATAATTTATTATAGTATTATACAGGATGATCCAGCTGATGTCTTACAATCTACATCTAATTTCTATCTTTAACCTCTATACATAAAATAAACATGGACTTCGTTCTTTCCAATGGGACCATACGTTTTTAATTTCATAAATATTCACATCATATTTCTAAGAAATAAGTGGAAACGTAGTATCTTGACAAAGTCATAGTAAACGAACTGATTGGTGAACATTTTAAAACGACAAAAAATGTTTAAAACCCATTACATTTCTATAATATTATTTACCTAATGCACGTCTGATCAATTTTTTTACAGCTTTTCCAGTACGAAGTCTTCTGTTTTCTCCAAGTTGTGTCAAATCTAATTGACTAAAATCTGAAAATATGATTAAATAATTGGTTGATATCAAACAATTAAAATAAATACCTTACTAGCGGCGTATGACTGTATTTAAAATAAAAACCTGTGATATAAAAAATTGTCTGTAGAACGTGCCATTTGTAATGAATTTCGAATAAAGTATTCAACGACATGGTAGTGGCGAGGAGCTAAGTTAAGAAAATAGCATAGCGTTTGCTGGACAAAATTGACCATATGATATTTTATCGATAAAATGGGAAAGTTGTGAAGAAGTAAGAGCTTAAATAAAATTTAGATTAGTTGCTTTGATTTTTCCAAGCAAATCAGTACAACTTTTTCGAAATAATTATTTTGTACATACAATTTATTAAATACTATTATTACAACAGCTTTTGAGTCGCTTTTATTTTGTTTTTTTTTTTTTGTGGCCTAGCAACTATTTACACTGAGTTAAAGAAGTGATTGTGTCACATTCTTATATTTGTTATTAAAAATTGTTTTGTTTACAATCATTTTTGTATTTTTATGTATTTTGAAGTGGTAAAAATTGTACAAAACAATTGGCTACATAGTTATAAAGTCTCACATTCTCTGTCCATCTGAAAGTTTACTTTATTGTAACTATTGTACGAAAACTAAAAAAAAAGACATTTTTGAAATAAGCCTTAAGAACTAAGTATGAATATGTAATTACTTTGAATTAGAGTACTACACTTCGAGTGACTTGAATGGCATTAAAAATATTATCGTAAACTGTTTGATATAAAATATTTAAAAAATACAAACTAATGTTAACTCTAAAACAAACCTTAAAGGCTATTCAAGACTATGGAAAAATACTTACTTTGGTCTGGAACTTGAGTCACAAGAAGAGCTATAAATAAAACATAAAATATCAAATCATTGACTAGTTATTAAATCCAAAATTGTCTATTTTATTCGTAACAGTTACTCTAAAACCAAGACTTATCAGAACAATGATTATTCAATTCAAAATATGTTTTTAACATTACATTATTTCTAATAGCAACGTTTGAATTAACAATTTGAATCACAATTAAAATGATCATCAAAAGCTCAGACAAAAAACATATACTTTATGTTTTTTTTTCGTTTTTCTTTAGAATTCAATAACATGTTTTAAATTTTGAATAATATTCGTTGTGAAATTTAAAATTTTATATTTACGTAGATTATTTATTATTTCTTTTTGCATAGCTTTCTCTTGATCTATATATTCTGAAATTGGTTCTGAAAAATCGATTTTAATTTACATATTCTTATAATTAGACCCAACATGTGAGTGTATGATTTTATTTTAATACATGCTATAAATAACGAATCTGTGTATAGAATTGTAAATATAAAGGCTACCTTGTATATTGGTCAGGTTAGCCTTATCTGAAATTAAAACAATAACACTGTATACTTTATGAATATCAAACAATTGTGTAGAAATAATTATATTTTCATAACACGCAATACAAATGTTTACCCGGTACAGCGATCATATAACTCAATTGGTCTGAAATGTACATTACACAAAACAATTACATGTTTTAAAAAATCATTATACTTGAAAGTACACGCCTAGTATTAAATATTAGTAGGAACTTTATGATTATTGTGTAAAGGCTAAATTGAAACATATGTGGCGAATAGAATAAAGTTTATAATGTTTGGTTGAGGTCGACAACGCTATCTGTAGTGTTTTTTTTAATAGAGCTTCGATTTAGGTCTTGGAATAAAATTTAAGATTTATGTGACTCAAATAAGAAGATAAATTTGCATAATGATGAATCTTTGTTGCAAGTTGTAAATATTTATTTCTTCTAGCAATCTGTATCTTTATTATTATATAATTATAAGTACCTATCCAATATTCATCTTCATAAACAATTGATTTAATTACATACTCCAAACCATCTAAAACAAACAAATTAAGAGCTAAGCTATAAAAACAAATTTAAGACAACAAAAATCATTAGAATAAGATTACACCATGACTTAAGAGATGACCATTTAGCATAAGCTTCTTTGTCTGTTTCATAGACACTGTCTATAGTCAAGTGTGCTTTAAGCATATTACATAAACTGATAACTTAAATATAAATAAATAAATATGATCTTCACAAATTAAGTAGTGTGTACTAAAATGGTATAAAATACCATTGACTTAACACTTTAAATGAACTATAATTTTTAGTTTATATATTATTTGGCAATCAGGCAAAGATAACAATAATTGTATATTAGTATATTAATTTTAAATATATCTTACTTCCTCCTACTGAAGAATGATTATAGTCAGAAGCTTGCTGGATGTAACTATCTGTTGTAAATAATTTTAAAAATATGTATAAAGTCGGTAAAATTTAAAAATTGTAAAAGTTAATTTGTACGGAATCAAATTATGTTACTGACTTGTAATGACAACTTCTTTTTTATAGTTCGCTGTAAGGAAATGAGAAATATTGCATTTTTTTAAATGTTTGCATGTTAAATTTAACTAAGTAAATGTGAAAATAGAATAATTACTTATTTCTTGATCTATCAAAACCCCATTTACCAAGACAAATAGTGTAAAAAAAACACAGAACAATTTCATATTTATCTGCAAATAATAATAAACATAATATACCAATTAGTTACATTAGTATATTAGTCACAGTTGCTCCTGTGTGGAGGGGATAAAGTTTTTGTTTAACGATAATGTTTATTGTTTGATATATTTTTTTTATTAGATTCGACATATTATCTGCCAAAATGGTTTATTTATATGGCCAATAAAAAATTGTACTTGATGTGGGGATGCAGGCAAAATGTATGCATTCGAGATAAAAAAAAATTGAAAACACAGTATTGTATTATAAATACTCGTTTTAAATACACGTTATGAAAAAATATTCCCATATCCGATTAGAAGCGTAATTATAACGTTTGGAATATTATGATAGTACCTAATACTTACTTAAATTATTGAACTGATAATTATTTTTTTCTTTTTTATGTGTTTTTTATCGATGAAAAAAATTAAAGCGCCTGACTAAAATCCGTGTTATTATAATTGTTCGTATATGTTAACCTTTTTTTTTATTGTATAATAAAACTAGTCATATTATTATTACCACAGTTGTGTATGCAAGTTTAATAATGAAACAAAACAACAAGGTAATACATCATTGTGAACGTGTTTTACGTCTCCTATGCTGAGTTTATAGACAAAATATGAAACGTGTTTGTATGATTTATATTATTACACTATAATATATGGGAAAAACTTAGGCAACACTTGTGGTTATAAATATTATAGTAAAGAAAAAAAAATAATAAAATATTTAAATAAACCCTTAACCACTAAAATAATAACACTCTATAGCAAATTTCGGCAGCAATGTCACCATCATAAAAGCATACAACAGACTGAGCGCTGTTACGGGAAAACACCTGTGCAGCGTCGTCATACCGGGAATGATCACCGTGAACACTGCTTATGAATTTTAATAAAAAGTTTAATAACGGACTCAACGCCCAGTTGAACAAACTGTTGCTATTTTACAAAATTTCCATCGCCTCCCTAGCAGTAGCAAGTTCTTTAGAATTATTTAAATTTTTAAGTCATTTTACTGATTCCATGTTACGGTTAGTATCCAATAAATGTTCCGCAACAGTAGATTTGTGTGCTTCTTGGGTTTTTACGTTCCTTATATTATTATGTTCTTTAAAACTAAATTTTTCGATTCGTCACTAGGGTGGTTCTTTCTTTAGACAGTCGTCTGCCCAAAGAGAGATGGATACTAACATCCTCCTCATAGGCGACCAAGCTGGACCTTAGTCTCAGACAAAACACAGACAAACGCAATAATGATAATAACACAAAGGCAATAAATGTTTTTACAATCTTGAGCATTACTGTTTATTGTAAAACACTTTGACAACTAATTAACAATTAATATGTAAAAAACTATTTGAATATAATAACAATAGTACTATAGAATATATATATATTTAGAAAAATTATACTTTTGATAGCTGGTCCTAATTGATATAGTTATTAATCATAACTCGTTCTTTAAGTTGTATTATTTGAAAATCAGTATTGTTGACGTCTACATACCAAAATTGTCCGCTAGAGTATCTGTATTTAATATTATGATCGCTTTTATCTATTAAGATACAAACACCATAAGGATCAATATTAGTAGATTTTATGTGCAAATTTGGGATTTGAGTAATTATCCACAATCCTAAGAAACGACACTTCTCTGTTAAACTGACAGTTGGTTCTGTTCCATCTAAAAAAAAAAAACCCTTTTTTTTTGTGAATTGATAAGCTTAGCCTAATAGCTACTACTTTTCTTTATTGTGCAAAATATATATTTTGTAGAGAATTGTGCGTTGTAAAAAAAGTGTTGGTTAGTGGTGACTACGTATTATCTACAAATTGGTAACCTAGTCATTACTCTTCAGGTCAGTTACTAAGAAATGTGATCATATGTGTACGTAATGGTTAAAATCAACAATGCTATAATAATATTCACCCAAAGCGTGAATAATTATTTTTTTTAAAGCTTCTCCAGTAAGACGTCTTCTCTCTTCTCCAAGTTGTTGCAAATTTAAGTTTTCAAAAGCTGTAATAATGTATAAATGACTAAACGAATAACAAATAATAAAAATAGATTTGTTGCTCGTGCTGCACACTAATAATTGTATTATACTACTAATTAATTTAAATAAAAGAGAAATTGCTCATTAACCATTGTAAAGTTATAGGTTGCTCTACATAAGTCAGTTAATAGCTAACAACGAAACGACTATCAAATAAATTCATATTTACCTTCGTTTTGAATACTAGGCATAATATTATCTGTAACAAAATTATTCAATATTAAATAATAATACGGTTTTAATGTTACCTAAAACAGTCACTTTAAAACTGAGATAAATTAAACCAATAATATTAACCAATAAAATATATATTGTATAAACATTAAATTATTTCTAATAGTGACGCAACGCTTGGATTATACTTTAAATAATCATCAAAAGCTTAGCACAAAGCTTATATTTTTATGACTTTGAAGTTAAATAAAACATTTTATAATTTTTCTTTAGAATAAAGTAATTATTAATTTTAAGAATTGTTCGCTTAAAAATGATAAATTTCATATTTACTTGTTCTAAATCTTATCTCGGTCCGCATACAAATTTGGCTATTAATTGATACTGAAATTTAAATCAATTAAATTTAAATTAATTTGAATGTACACGTTTTTTTATGATTGAAACCATTATGTAAGTATATGATTATTTTTAATACATAACAAAAAGGAATCTGTGTAAAGAATTGTAAACGTTGTTGTTCGAAGTAATTTTATTCATAATGCTTTTTAGAATCGATCTCAGGTGGATTTCGTGTAAACTGGATTTGGTAAGATTTTTGTTTTAGTTTTACATTTATACGTTTTACTTAAAACTCTTAAGACATCAGGTTCTAGTGAACCGTTTTTGTCATGGTTTGGCTCATATCTTCACTCTAGATATCAATGGGTCAAATTATTTGGTACAAAATCCAAATTTTGTTTTGGCTTCATCTCGAGTATTCCTCGAGCTGGTCATATGTTTTCTCTCCTGTTCTCTCTACTCGTTAATGGCGTAGGTCATGTTTTATTAAACTGGTTAAATCCTTAGTGGTCAACTAGTAGAACTATACTGGGAATAAAGTTACTTAATGGATTATTAGGATAACTAATTTTTTAATATTTTGTCATACTTTCTAATAATGTTACAATAGTTTTTAAAATTGTATTAAACGAGCTGCAAAAGATGCATAAAAACGTATTACAAAGGGTTAAGCCCGTGTATTTCTAAATAAATAAAATATATAAACATAGTTACACTGTAAGTCAGCCAGGTTTTCGTGCCCTACAATGAATATAAAAACATTGTATATAATGTGTATCAAGTAATTGTGTAAAAATATTTCCATAACATGCAATGAAAATTTTTACCTGATACAGCGACCATATAATTCAACACGTCTGAAATTATATAACATAAGTATTATGATGGAATAATAATTAATATTTTGTATAACAGGATATATACACAATAGGTAACTCTTATAACATATTTTAGTGTATAGTATTACAACACAATACAATATACATTATTGATGTTGGATTTAGTTTTCCATTTTATTAAAAAATTATAAGATGAAGGTCAAGGTAGAAAAAACATGTAGGCATATTAGTAATTTGGGAAGGAATTTGCTTGACTCTAATAATTTTAGAAACGTTTGGTTAAGATTGACAAAGTATTAAAAGTTACGAACAGTGTTATCTTTTTACTAGTTTCCATTTAGATTTTAGGCTAAAACTTATGAATTATATCACTAAGGAATTTGTATATCGAAAAAATATTTTTTGTAATTTCTAGTAAAATCCAAAAAAAAAACAAAATTTCTCTTAAAAAGCTTTATTTTTATTAATATTAGTGGCTCATCTTTAGGCGTGAGACACTACAGAAGTTACTCTGCTATCTGTGTCCACCCGTTGTCATACTTAAGTACAATTAATATGAATTAAGTATTCAATATGATTTTCTCAAAATGAATGTAATAATATATAAATATAAACAATGTTTATCCAAAGTAAAGAATTATTTTAGTAAATAAGTAATTAATAAGAATAAACCACACATTATAAATCAAACGCACCAATATATTATAACACGTACAAATATAATTATATCGAAATTAACGTGAGTTATTTACAGTAGAAAGAAACTCATAAAGAATTCCCCAATCAACACACATTACATACCCACTCCACAGAACTTTGATGTCGAGGGCAAAGCATCTAGTTTTACCACATAAAACTACTTGCAACAAGACATCCACAAAATCACAATTAAGTAAGGTCAATTTGCATAAGTACTAAAATCACATTGGTAAAACGCATGGCCGCCTTTAAAGGACGATAAGTGTAGAGTTATAGAGAAAAATATTATCTTCATAATAAAAGCGTTGAATTAAATGATCTTCGCCATCAGAGCCAACTTCTACACCGTCACTGGACTAGAATAAGGTACGTGGAAATACTGTATCACAATAATATTAGAGTATTAATAGAGTTAGAACGAGTAAGCATGTTTTAAAAGCATACTCGTACCACAAATATTATGTTTTCAATCCATTCTACCATCCCTTTTATTTTTATAATTACATTAATTATAGTTATTAACTTCGTCTAGATAATTTAGAGCATTTCTCATGACTCATAGATACTATATATTCTGAACTAGCTTATAAAAAAACAAATCCACAGACAAGGTGAGCTACATGAAATAGACAACGAGAACCTGGCTATCTTTAATATAAATTAAAAACTTTTCGAAACTAATAACACCAACGATCCACTTGGCGTCTTTTTGTTAATATGTTATAATAATTACCCATAATATATGTTTTTTCATAAACAATTGTTTTTATTACATGTTCCAGGCCATCTAAAATAAACAAAAAAGGCTTTAAATTAAATCATAAAACTCATACACTCTAATGTATTGTATTACTCCTACTGATTCCGAGTTCTTTTCCGTCAAGTGCAATTCTCCACTCCTCAGGCCTATTAACTTCATACCGTGGTTTTTCCTACCAAAAATACACCATCTCCAAATGTCATGTACCGTGGTACCTCACTCTATATTTCATTTGTAACTTCATCCATTATGACAGAATGTCTCGTGCCTTTGATTTGTATTTATAAAGATTTGTTTAATCGTTTAAATAAAAACGTATTTGGGCGATTTACAAAAAATATATATTTATAAATTATTTTTTTACAAATCTTACTTCCTTTTAAAATATCATTTTGTTCAGAAGCTGCCTTGATGTATTTGTCTATAGATTTTTTTTTAAAAATGTTGTGTATTAAATTATGCAAATTAAAAAAAACTCATGAAGTTGATGTATTTGATAAAAATGTTACTGACTTGTAATGAAAACCTCCTTCGTGTAATGATCTGTATAGAAGAAATAAATAATAATTTATTTAACTATTCCGTGTGGGTAAGTATAAAAATAAAATAAATACCTATATCTGCCAATACATTAACAAAGACAAATGATGTTAAAACAAAGAAATGTTTCATTATTATCTGGAAATAATAAAAAACATGGAATCAATTGTTTATATTAGTCACAGTCACCTCTGGTGCTGGTAATAGAAAGTTTTGGTTTTACCATGATGCTTTTTTTAAAAATTATTTTGGTTTTTTGACTTCACGACAGTATCCTAGACCGCCAAATTGACTTTTTCGTATAGCAAGTAGGAAATCGTACTTGAAAGGACCTTTATTGACCCAAAATTGTAACTTATTTACACCTTCCTCTACAAAATTGAGAACAAAATAAGTAAGAATTTCCTCATTCTTCTCTCAATTATCATTTTTTATTTCCTAATATGATGTATTATTATTTTGTAATACTTCATTGTACCATAATTATTATTATTCCATTATTCATTTATTTACTATATTTATATTATGGTATATTTATACTTACATCATGAGAATATTGTTATATAATTATTGATAGATATACATTAAAGAGAGAGTAAGATGTACGCGTAATTATCAAATATATTTATGCATTTATATTAAAGAATTACTCCGTTTTAAATGCAATAATTTTACCCGAGATTCCACTAACTTGTCCCGATGGCTGTAATGCTTTATCATGGTGACAAGCACTAATAAAATAATAGTACCACGTATAAATACAGGTCTTATTAAAACTTACAGTTGTAAGAATATGTGTAGTTGTAGGTACACGTGTATTTATAATAACACAAACTCATACACGTGCATGTCAACTACACATGTTACACGTGTTACACGGTAGTTCTAAATTAAAAACGAAATGAAAAAAAAAAAACATTTTGATTTCTTATTAAACCCCATAAGCCTCTACAGCTACTAAAAACGCACACGTGTACAAGGCAAATAGTTTGAATTAGTTTTAAATTTGTATGAAATTGATTTTAAAAATTGTACATAGACAAACCAACAAAATATCAAAAACGAAGTCCATAGACAGGGATGAAAACTTTGTCTTTAATTCGCTTCTTAGGTATAGTTTTAAGGGTTAAAAGCTTATGGATTTTTTTTTTTATTAGCCTTTATTAAACAAAATGAAGGCTCAACAATTTATCCATAAACTAATAATGTAGTATACATATTTACTATGCAGTGTGTCCCTACAAAGATTTGACAAATTAAATAACTTGTTACAGTTTTACAGTTTTTATAGTTTTTTTAATTTTTTTTATTTGCAATCTATACAAAATATGTATAATCAGTAAGTTTGATGATAAAGATACAGTGACGATAATGTAGGAATAGGAAGGCTCTCAGCAGTGCCACCTGACCAGAATATATAACTTGTTCAGGTAAATATTTTTTCTTAAATTAATTTATACTAATTTGCGCTGTAAATACCATGGTTTGTATTGCTCTTAAGTGTTTTACTTTGTGCAGTTTTTTTTTTTATTAGGTCCATTTTATTAACAATAGTTTGTTGTACATTTTGACGGGTCGTCAAGCTGTTTTGGATAATTACTTTTAAAGTTATCCTTCACTGCATGTAAGTGCATATATGCATTAGGTTATTTGTATTAATATCATTTATTGATTATGGTTAGTATATAATTTGTTACATTGCTAGCTGTCGGTAAAATAAATGAACTATTGATTTTTAAAACGATTTTTATCAATAGTGTTTTTTTTTAAACATAAAAAAATTCATGCAGTATAGGGTTAAGTATAAAGTTTAGGATGAGAGTTTTGGAACAGTCAACATTTTTAGGAAATTATTCTTAATAAAATGGCCATTTGAATTTTTAAAAAAATAAAAAAAAGTTTTTATTTACAAAGGTAAAATAGTTAAGTGCCATAAAAACGCAGCGTTTAAAGCCCAAATTTTATTAAAACAAAATATATTTAATTTTTCAAATCTTTGTGAGACATCCTGTATAATCGGAAGAGGATAACATTTTAGAGACAATGTCATATCTGTTTTAATAAAAAAAAATCTTAAGGAATAAAATTATAAGCATTTTGCAGAATAATGAATAAATTGAAAATCTAATTTAGCATTCTATCCAAAAAACATCATTGTCTTTTGTATTTAAGATAAAAAATAGAAAATACAATTTTGTACGCGAATTACTTATTTAAAATTAAAGTACTTTAAAATTTGACTTTATCTGATTAAAAGCATACTTACAAATTTAAAGTTTGATGTATACTACCAACGATTGAAATGATCAGACGAAGATAAATTTGTGGTTCACTACTAAATGTTTTGAAGCGATTTACTGGAATCTTGTCCATGGGCTTTTGTTTTGACTGAAACACTAATAATTATATTTTCCAATATGCCTATACAAATGTATTTACATAGCCGGTGTATTTTTTTTTTAACACGGTTTAATTTTTTTTTTTTCGTTAAGTTCAGACTTTTTTTCTTTTCATTTATTGATTTTAATCATGTAACGTTTACATTAATTTCAATAATTTGTATTGATAATCGTACTTATTTACCATTCTTCCATATTATACGATCATACATATATTATACAGGGTGATCATTTTATCGCGAGCCACTCAATTTCACATAGGGTTTAATAAGAAATTTAATTTTTATTTTCCATAGTGTTTTTATACAATGTGATCTCAATTTTTTAAATTTTTACATCTTAGAACTCATTTATGAACCTATTTTGGATTAAAATAAAGTCCAACGCAATAAATACATAAACAACAAATGTATTTTAATCGTAAGCAAAGTGTTTATTGTAAAGTACATTGAATTAGTTGCCAATTAGTTTATTAGGGCAAAAAATTATTCAAATATAAAATCAATAATACCATTATAATTTTAGACGACCTATATACATATTTCAGTCCGGGACTTATAGCTGTGTCCAAAGTAGGCATACTTTATAATCAACATCATTGACCTCTACTTGCCAATAAATGCCATCAAAGGATCTGTATTTTAAAACATGATTGGCTCCATCCGATATGATACAGAGGCCATCGGGGAGAACTTCATCAGTTGACGTAAATAATTTCTCGTATTTTATACTTGTAAACAATCCTATAAACCGACAAATAAGCCTTGAAGTGACATTTTGTTGGTTTTCAGCTGAAAAATTTAAAAAATAAACATTATTTTGAAATTATTAAATTTAGATTACTGGCCACTATACTTTTCTCTATTGTTCTTATCACAATGCAACCAATAATTGTATGTTAGAAAAATGCGGTCAAATATATAAGTGTTTAATTGTAATTTTAACATGAAAATAAATATAAATTTGTATGTTAAAGTGATAAGAATAAATGTATAATATTAAGCGTTGTTATTAATAAAAGAGAAATAATTTATTTTAAATGGTAAAGGTATGTATATTAGTTTAAAAACCATTACAACACTATAATAATGATTACCGAATATAAGTCTAATTATATTTCTTAAAGCATCACTGGTAAGAGTTCTTCTCGCTTTTCCAAGACCAGTCAAATTTATGGTTCTAAAATCTGCAAAAATTAATAAATAAGCATGTTGTTTGTAACAAAACAAAAATGGTTCCCCGTATTGAATAATTTCTTCATTTTAAAAACATTTCTAAGAAAAAAGACCTTTTTTTCAAAATCAATTATAGCTCGTCGATGTTGAAAATTCGTAGAGTTTATTTTAACCGCAGCTGTTAAGTAGTTTCTTAAGTCTCACTTTATCTCACCAAAAAAAAGAGTTAACTTTATTGTAATTATTGTGTGAAAAATAAAAAATTAAATTTCAACTTTAAGGCTATTCATGCCTATCGAGCAAATACTTATTACCTTGGTCTGGAACTTGAGGAACAGGAATTTCTGTAAAAAATCTAATATAATAACTATGAATATAAAATCATTATACAGTTGATAAAAATAACTTTCAATATTTTGTCAATAACAGTCACTCAATACACAAAATGAGTTTAATTAGACCAATTAACGTTTGAATTATCGGTTTCAGTTATTATACATTGCATAATCAACAAAAGCTTAGACAAAAACCATAATACGGCTTTAAGACTTTGAACTTAAATATATTTTTATCGTTTTTCTTAAGAGACCAAAGTAATTATTGAATTTGATATTTTCTATTTACGTAATCGATTTTTTATTTCTCTTTGCATGGACAGCTGGTAGTTTGTATATTCTAGAATTAAAACAAAGTACATTTCAGTGTATACGTTTCTTTTGATACAAACCAATAACTAAGAAAGCCAACAAGCGTAATTATGAATGTAGTCACCCTGTATGTTTCCAAGGTCAACTATTTCTAAAACCAAAACGATTACATTGTTTACTTAACAAAGATCAAACAATTGTGTGGAAATATTTCCATAAAATGCAATGCAAATAGTTTTTACCCGGTACAGCGATCATACAATTCAATTGGTCTGAAAGTGAAATTTACATCAGTTAACGATATTGCCTGAATTGCTATTCTATTTGAAATTAGAAGACAAAATGATGCCTAAAATAAAATAAATTAGGTACGGAAGAAATAACGATGAGGGAACGAGAGTTAAGAAGCGACTGGATATCAGGAAAAATATAACCAATGGAAGAGAAGAGAGAAAAATCAGGCAACGACTGGGAAGAAGAGAGAAGGACTGTCGAAAAGAATATGTGAGATATCGCAGTTCATCTCCGCCTGGTGAAGCTTTACTTTATTATTATATAATTATTACTACCTATCCAATAGTCATCTTCAAAAACAATTGTTTTAATTACATACTCCAGTCCATCTAGAATACACAATAAAAGGTTTGAGCTATAAAATAAGTTTGAAATTACAATATAATAGCACACAAAATGTTAGAATAACACTACACTATGCCTCTACCGATGACCATAAAAGGACTTTACGATGCTCCCATTGTTGGTTTAAATATTCCCTGCTTGGAGTTTTAAATGTGATGTTAGTAAATTATCGAAACTGCCACTTTAAATATAAATGATTTCAACAACACAAATTGAGTAGTGATTGATAATCTGATACTATACGCTTCATGTACTCCTAATCGTAACAGTTAAGATAAACTATAATTTTTAGCTTATAACAATTTATAATTTTTCATAAAAAACAATTATATATTAGTATTACATATTTACACAGTGTTGAAACACACTTTTTCTGAAATATTAATTAATATATTATTACAAATCCATTAAAATTGCATATTATGTAATAATTTATTGCATTGTATTTTTTCTTCTGTAGAAGCTAATAAAAACTTTAAACTGTTAAGTGACAAATTATACTGACAACTCACAGCAGTGATAATTTGGCACAAGTTAAGTATAATTGTTTTAAAATATATCTTACATCCTTTTAATCCATTAAAGTTGTAAGCTTCTCGGATGTGTTTGTCTGTAGAAAATTAATTAACGATTATATTGAAAAACAGTAAAAAATTAAAAGATATTTTATATGAAAAAAAAATTACTGACTCGTAATGACAACCTGCTCCATAAAGTCCACTGTAAAATAAGTGACATTTAATGATTTTTTAAATCTTAACTACTTTAAGCGGTTAACAGCAAAATAAAATAGTTACTCAAATCATCTGCCGAAACATTTATAAAAAAAATTGATATCAAAACACAAAAAAGTTTCATTTTTATCTGCAAATAATAATAATCATAAAAGCAATATATATATATATATTTTTAATTAAACCGACGATATTCCTTGATAGCCAATTTGATTTTTTTATTTAACAAGTCAGAAATTGTATTTGAGAAAAGTAATTTATCGGGCAAACACTTTTATTAATTCATCCGTTCCCCTGCAAAACTGAGAAAATTATTCTAAGAAATAATGTATGATGTGAATTCAGCTTAAAGAAAAATGTTCAGAAAGAAGGTTATGACGATTTAAAAAAAGGTAGAAATATGTATTCCTACAGTAAGAATGGAGCCAAATATTGAATAAACTGAAATTCTAACACAGCGTATTTTTATTTAAAATATTATCGTCTTATAATTATTAGGATATAAAATATAAAATTGATTTTTTACCCCAAATACATATGTAAACTTAAAGTATTTTAAAATTTGCCTTTTTTTTTTTAATAAAAGCATACTTACAAATTTAAAGTCTGAAATATACTATCGACGACTGAAATGATTGAAACTCGGTTTACTCGTAAAACTAAACGGTTTGAAACGACTTGCTAAAGTCTTGTCTATAGGCTTATATTTTGACTGTAAAACTATGATCTAAATATATTTTGCAAAGTACCATGTAAATTTATTTACATAGCTGGTGTATTCATTTTATATGATTTGATTTTTTTCTATCGCAGTGTTTTGACTTTTTTCTTTTCATTTATTGATTTTACAATCGATACTCTTGTGACTTGTGTTTAAATATTCAATAATTTCAATTATTTTGTCGATAAAACCCGTACTTGTTTCATATTGTACATGTATTTACCATTCGTTCAACATTTTTTTTTTATAATGATGTTATTTTTTACATTTGTTTTTTCGTTTATTCGAAATTTACCGAATATTTATTCTGGACGGTTTAAGAAATCCATTTTAATAATATATAAATACCTTAGTTGTATGTCAAGAGTGTATTATAAAAATATATGTATAACACATTTGCTCTCATATATAAATTTTAATGTCACAACTATTTTGAATAAAAATAACACATTCGTGCTGAGACTTCATCCGCTATGACTCATCATTCATAAATCTGCACTCTGTACATTTTGGTGAAGTCTTGTTGATAGTCTGGTAAGCCTCCGAGTTATGCTTTGTTTAACTGTTTAATAGTTAATTATTTAGTAGCAATCTATTTTCCCAACTAAGTGTTTATTTTAAAGGATACCATACCATCCGTTTATTAATGAGTAAAGTATAAGCAATTTTTCGCAAAATTATAATTTAGAGCTTGAACTACGGCGTCTACTACTTCTTAATACAGAAATGAAGACTCCTTATAAGTCATTTTTATTTGTCAGACTATTACAGTCATTTCTTTAACAATAATTACAAATTTTTTTTTCAAACCAATTTTTTGCATTCTGTGAAGTTTTAGTGAAGGAAAAACCAATATTTTTTAACCATTTAAAAAATGAAATGTTTAACAATGTTTTGATAGAATCCTAATTTGAAAATAGTATCAAAAAGATAGCATTACGGCTGATAAAAAAAGTAAAAATAATTATAATATTAATTACTATTATGAAAATCCAATTCTGACCAAAACGTGGAAATGAATAAGGGTTAACGTGGATATTGATTTTGTCTATATTAGTCACTCTAAAACTTAGATTAATTAAACTAAATAATATATTTTATAGTCTTGAGTGTGATTGTGGTTATGAAAATCAGACAACGGAACACATTGTATCAGACTATCCAAGAAGAAAATTCCAAGGAGGAATGAAGGATACCATGACAATGACCAAAGAGGCCCTGGATTGGTTACCTTGGATATACACTTGTAAAAATAATTTGGTTTTTTGTAATATATTATAATTTTTTATTTTGTTTGACTTTTGTTTTTTTTAATTTTTTTTGTTGTTCCTTTATACTATATGCAAGTTATTTAGTATATGCCATACGATAAATAAATAATATATTGTATGACTATTTATTTCTAATAGCCTGAATAAACTAGCTTTAAGCTTTATAGCTTTAATAGTTTAAATGAACAATTTTAATTAGATATTTTCAAAAGAGCTTTCAAGCTTAGCCAAAAAACTTACAGTATTACGATTATGAACTTTAGCTTTAAGTTTTGTTATAATAAATTTAATTTATCTAATATGTACCTAATATATAATTTATAATATTCGTAAGACAACGTTAAATTTTATATTTACTTATTCCAAGTACTATTTCTAATCATATACCTACATTACTGGTAATGAATAAATACCGAAATTTTAAATAAATAAAATTTAAATTAATTTTAATGTACATGTTTATTATGACTGAAACAATGTAAAGAATTATAAATAGGTATAATTATAGATTGGTCAGCTGAGTCAATTGAATAGGACAGGAGTGTTATATGCTCCGTTCTCGATTTTTTTTGCACTTTTGAGACATATTATACAGTAGTATTTTCTGAAAATTAGATAAAGTAGTAATGATAAGTAATACAACACCCTAACTTATAGACCTAGAGGAAGCGCTGAATAAGACTGAAACATTTTTTCCCATCCCATCACCGCCCACCGAGAACTCGGGCGCGTGCCAAAGTAGGCCACACGTGCGGTGTGTTAAAAAAAAAAAAATAATTACAGTACACAATATTAGCAATAACAAAAACCAGACGGATAAAACCACAAAAAAAATGTAGTACACTGCAAACAAGCATAACAGATGCCTAAGGAGTGGGAAGAAGGAGAGCCAAACGCCTCCTTATCATCAATGTCAAGTAGCTCGACGTCTACAGTAGTGCGACTAGATACCACGGGGAGATACAGAGTTAAGGACGCGCAAAGGATTGAAAAGGAAAGGGCCAAGAATGAAAAAAATTTCAAAGCATAGGAAAGTTGCCTCGAGGAATTCAAAGACATCTACTAGCAACAAGGATTAAACAAAGTACCAGACCACAAAGGTTTGTTGGCTCACAGGCAACATAAATAAATATCAAGAAATGGATCAACCTCAATCTTTTTTTCTAAGGCCAAAATGGAAAGCAACTCTTTGAACAGACTAGAGAGAAAGGCTACTATACATCTCCTAGAAAACCAAACTAGAAACAAATTCTATTAGTTGGCATAACTATTTATTATGAAACACATGAAATCAATTGACATTGTAGTTAGTAGTGCAATATGAACAAGCTATATAAATGTAATAACAATAGGATTAGGTATATAATTTTATAAGAGTTATGATTTTGATTCCTGGCCTAAACTATTATTCTAGCTGGGACCAAAGTGGTTCTAGTTGAATATCGAAATTATGAGGGTCTACTTGGTGCCAAATGCTTTCAAAGGTTCTGTATACTATATAATGATAAGCTCCATCGTATAAGCTACAATAGACTTCTGGATACACTCCTTCATTTGTTGAAAATATTTTGCCAAATTTTGTACTATTCATCAATCCAATTAAACAACACAACTCTCTCAAAGCGGTATTTGGTTCAGTTAAACCTGAAAATAAAAAAAAACAATTTTTTTTCAATAAGTTGAAAGTAAAATAATTAGTTTTATACATTTTTATAAATAATTATAAAATATCAAATAACTAGTTTTTTAAATTTATTAATGGAACTACACTTAATCTTACATTAACTAAATCTAGCTAAGAACACTCTCCATAATCCACATATTGCTTAAGTGTTTATTAGGGTGGTTCAAAAAAAAAATCTAACTTTAGAATTTGGTTTCTGTAACCCCCTAATTTTTTTCTATGATATTAGAAAATAATTCTGCAAAAATTTAGGTTAGATTACTCAACCCATTCACGTGCCGCATAGGGGTTGAAGTTGAGCAAAATAAGATAGTTGATGATTGAATTTGCATGATTAAGTGATTAGAAAAAATCTATGACATTTACTGAACTCTTTAGTAATATTTACCTGGTGCACTTCTGATTACATTTTTTATAGCTTTTTCAGTAAGAAGTCGTCTATCAATTCCAAGCTGTCTCAAATCGTTTTCAAAATCTGCAAAAATGATTTAGAAAATTTGATATCAAAAAACACCATACTGCATGTCATGTTGTTTGTACTGAGCTGTAATATATTTCATGGAACATAAAAATACTACGTTACTTTTCCATGATAAATATTATAATGTTAGATTAGGCGATAAAAATATGATAATAACACAGTCATATTATTGATAAATCATAGATTCTTCTTCTGGATGAATTGTTTGACATAAAACATTAACAACATACGATTTTCAATTATAAAACAAGCCTTAAATGCTATTTACGACTCTTGAAAAATGACTTGTAACTACCTTCGTCTGGCACAGGAATAGCTATAAATAAAATATTATATAATAAATTATTATACAGTAAATAAATCCAAAATCATCTATTTAATTCATAAAGTTACACATGTTGTTGTTATCATTATTTGAAAACCAAAAAAAGCAAATTTTAATTTTAAAACAAACTTTAAAATCTATCGAATAAATGTATAATTACTTTGGACATCAACATGAGGCATTTCAGCTACAAAAAAAAATTCATATCATTATACAGTTAATTTAAACTAACTTTCTATTACATCCGTAACATAAATTCAAAAACTGAAAATTATTTAAACAATAATAATTATTCAATGAACAATATACTATTAACACTACATTATTTGTAATGGCAACTCCAAATTGTTTAATTTGAACTATTATTCAATCGATAATTACCATGCAAAACATAGACAAAAAATATATTGCTTTATGATTTTGAACTTAAATTGAATTATTTTCATTCATTTTTAGACCACAGTATTTATAAATTTTAAAAATGGTTCGTTTTTAAATGTTAAATCTTATATTTACGTAATGTAGCTATTATTTTTTCTCGTATAGTTCTCTGTAAATCTATAAATTCTGAAATAGGTACTGAAAAATAAAAAAATTATTTTATATAATATGCGATACTTATGATTGAATCCAAAATGTAAGCATACAGAGTGATTCATATTGGATAACACACTGATTTATGAAACTAAAAACATATGTTTCCGTTTGTAAAAATCAACTCAAACTGCTTTTTTTTTTGTAGAAGAAATAGAGGGGAAAAAATGTAAAATATAGTAAAACGTGTACCTAAAAGTATAGAGAAAAAATGATGTCCGGAATATTAATATTTTCAGAGAAAATGAGAGCCTTATCCATAATGAATCACCTTGTATGATTATTTTTAATACGTATAAATAATGGGGCTGTGTAAAGAATAAATACAAATATATGGCAAATATAAGAATGTAAACATAAATGTAGTTACTCTGTATGTTGGTCAGGTTTGCGTTTTCTGAAATTAAAATAAAACATTGTATGCTAAATGAATATCGAACGACGGTATGGAAATATTTCCATCAAATGCAGTGAAAATGATTACCCGGAAAAGCGAGCATAAAATGCAGGTGGGCTGAAATAAAATATATTACATAATTATTGCTACATAAACAATAAAATTTTGAAAATTAAAAGTGAAGAGTTATACACCTAAGCCTACTATTTGATCGATAGGCGACCTATTTTTCATACCATGACGAGGCTAAGTTTTTTACCTTACTTTTACATTGGCGCGACAAGGGTTAGCGAAGATAAGAAATAGATTAATCGCGGGAAAGAGTAAAATGAGTTTATTTAATTCCAGGGAAGCTTGTGGCCGGTTTGGCATGGAGAAATGACTACAAACATCATACTTAAGCTAAACGTTCTGTGTAAACGTATTTCTACAGAATGTGGTTCGACAGAAAGCTCTGGACGACCTTGGCGGCCACACAACTTGTACGGCGAACTTGCGTGAATCCTATGGGAAGCCTCTAACGAGAAACTTTATGATAATAATGTAACGATAAAATGGAAGTAGATGTGGTGAGCAGAACAAAATATTATAATGATAGGTTGATATTGTCAGAGCTAACATCATTGTTTTTTTTTCATAAAATTTACAATTTAGATTTGAGAGTAAAATCTAAGGTTTACTCATCATAAATGAATACATTTTTGTGGTATTTTTGTATCTAATAACAAGCCATGTCTATAATGTTATAGGTAAGAAAATTACCTTTCCAATAAATATCTTCATTAACAATTGTTTCAATTACGTACTCCAAACCATCTAGAATAAACGAATAATTGTAACACTATAAAACAAGTTTCAAATAAAATCATAATAGACATAAAAGACAAACAAGTTGGTAGGTAAAAAGAGGTAAAAATTCATAGAAAAGTCGAAAGACGGGGAAAAAACTAACACACTACTAAAAATAGTTAAGATATTTATGTATAAAAATAACATGATTTTCCGTTTTTTTTTAATATTAACTCTTTTTTTGTTTTTTAAGCGTTTTTATGGAGATCCCAATTTGTAATTTACACAAAATTTGTTCATATTTGCCGTTTTGACCGAAATTTAATAATTTTACAGTGATAACCTATACCGGCAACATTAGTTTTGTATATACTGGTTCTTTAATAGCAGGAATGTATACACCTCGCTCACTTTTTCAAAGAATTTATTTATTTTTATTTTTTAAAACATTTGAAAACCAAGCCAACATAATGAAACAATTACAAAATATAATAATATTAATTTTAAATTTATCTTACTTCCGTTTACATCATCATAATAGTCAGACGCTTGTTGGATATACGCGTCTGTAGTAAATTGTTAAATAAAATATATATTTATGAAAACAGTAAAATTTCAATAATTTAAAAGTTATTCCGTATGAAAAATTTGTAACTGACTTGTAATGACCACCTCCTCCAAATAGTCCACTATAAATTTAATATCACATTTTTTTTTAGATTTTTTTTTTTTAACTCTCTTGTGTGGTTATGCATGAAAATACTTACTTTGATCGTCCCCCGAAGCAATTGCAAAGACAAACGATAAAAAAATAAACAATTGTTTCATTTTAAATTTCAAATAATAATTTACAAAAAAAAAACAATTTTTATTAGTCACAGTCGCCTTCGGTACGGTTTCGGTTCTAAGGTGAAGTCTCATTCAAAATCTAGAAAAACATCCATTTAATTTAAATATGTTCAAACTAAATAATACGGTCGATAGAGCTCTGGAAGAAAATAACATTGTCTAACATTAACTCCACAAACTAAAGTATCTCACCAAACGAAAAAAGTACAAAAACGTCTATTAAAACAAAACCACAACGTTTTTTTCATATTTGTTTTACCCAGTTGTTTTTTTATTTTGCTTTGTCGTTTGTGTATTCAAAAGTTTGAACCGTTTTTCTGAAATTACATGTAGCAAAGTAAACAACGTAAACAAATGACAAATACCTATAGGTGTTGCAATCTTTTAAGTTTACCATTTTAAAAACTGTAATATTATACAAAAAAAAAATGTACAATTTTGTTTTTGATCGAAAACAAGTTTTCATTAAAATTATTTTAAAATAGCTATAATATTATCACATAACCTATTAATATTAATAATGTTATTTTACTCCATAGGTCATATTATAATCGCATGCAGCCAACAATATATTGTTTTCTTACATTATAACATACTACAGTTTACAACAATTTGTTTAGTTTTATTTTGTTCATATCAGAAACCAGATGTTATTCACAAAGACTGTGGAAATATAAATTAACGACAAACAACTGTAGGTATCACATTTATATGTTTTAACATTGTTAGAACTCCACATAAACTACTTTTATATAACCATTATTGGTTTCCAAAAGTATTTTGTTTTATCGTTATAAGTGTACTAAAAGTAAAATGTTTGAAGTTTTTATATTTTTGCATTGTAGAAATCACCAACTAGCTAACCCCTGTAACTACCCAACAGCCCTAACCCAATATCGTTCATAAATTCAGATTCCCTTATATCATATAACATACGTTCACAAAAACAACTTGTTTCTGAAGAGAGAGAGACTACTCTTCGCGTCATTTGCGACCAGACTAGACCGTAACATAAACCTACTCTCGGTCAAAATAATACCACACGCGATAATGATAAAAATATAAAACAACAAATGTGTTTTAACCGTGAGCAAAATATTTTTTTTATGAAATACATTATATAAATTGACAATTGGAATATTATTTCAGTCAGCAGCAATTATTTAAATATAAAAACAATGATACTATATAATTTTAGAAGTTTTTAGTTTCTGGTCAAAATTATCTGACTGTGATAACTGCTATGTCTTCATGAAATAGTTGTTCCTTAAGTTCTACTATTTTTAGTTCGATATTTTTTTCGTCTACTTGCCAATATACGTCATCGAAAGGTCTGTACTTAATAACATGATCGTATTTATCCTTTAAGTTACAAACACCACTCTGATAAGGTTCGATGTAAGCAACTTCAATGTAAAATGATGGGATTTCTGTACTCGTCCACAATCCTAAGAGACGACACATCTTATCTTTGGAGACGGGAGGTTCGGTTCCATCTAAAAAGTAAAATAATATTTCGTCTATTTACTTCAAGCTATTAGACTTACAGAGTCAATTTATTTTAATTTCCATCCCCATACTAACTTGTTTTTTTAAAAATCGAGAAAGTAAATAAAAAATGTCCACCCCCCCCACTCCGAAAATTTTTTTTGGAAATTACACTGCATGTCATCAGAAAATCATTAAAATTGTTTTTTTATTTGCGTAGTCCAAAATTTAAAAATTTGTCTAATAATTTTTCAGAAAGCTGAGAAAATTTAAAATAAATTGTGTAAATTTCATAGTAAAGATAATAAAACAAAAAGTTATCTTATTTTTATACATCATTATTTTAACTATTTTGATTACGGTGGTCGCTTTTTTACACTTTTCAACTTTTCTATGAACTTTCACCTCGTTTCTTGTAAAATTTTGGTTTTTAATATAATTTGTAACTATTGTTAGTTTGCAAAATATATCTCATTACAATTGTATTATATTTAATATGATAATAACGTTTTAAATATAATGAATATATGGTTGAAAAAGCAGTACCATTACAATTTTATACTAATATTTACCTAATACGTTGATAATTATTTGTCTTAGAGCTTTTCTAGTAGTACGTCTTCTATCTTTTCCAAGTTGAGGCAAATTTAAGTTTCCAGAAGCTGCGAAAATGTATATATCATCATTTTGATAACAAATAATAAAAAGATTGAACAAATATTTTCTCGAGTATTGTTTTTAAGTAGCAAACTTTTAAAAAAAATGTCTTTTTGTATCTAAATGACATTGGGGAGATAGGAGAGAAGAGAGATTGATAGCTAACTAACTATTTTCTATTAATGACCGTAAACCTTTCGAGGTAAACACACCAGCTCGGCCATTGAACGTCGTTTATTTAATGTTTTGGAGTCACATAAGAAAATTTCACTTCAAAACATAAACTAGTTTCTCCAGATACAAAATTGTATAAAATTTCACAGAACAGTGATATAGCTAATAATTGTTTGTACAAACTGGCAAGTTGAAAAAATACTTATTTCTAGGGTATTTTTCTGGATCCAAACAATTGAGGGGGATAACATTCTACCATTTTTAGCTTTATAAAGTACTTTTCCGATACAATTTCTTATTTACAGACTTGCAATACAATAAAATTGAAATGAGAAGCTATAGAGCAACAACGAACCATAACGCTGAAAATGGAAGGTGTAAGTAATCCGACCAGTCAAACTATTCAGGTGAGAGGGACTGTAAATAGTATAAGCTCATATTTACTTTGGTTTTGTACATCAGGCACAGGTACACCTAAAACGTTAAGTTTTTTAGTGATAACAGTCATTATAAAACTAAGATTGATTGATTAAACCAATAATATTAACCAATCATTATATTGTATAGCCATTAAGTTATTTCTAATAAAAACGGTTAAGTAAAAAATTTGAATTATATTTCAAATTATTATCAAAAGCTTAACAAATACTGCAAAAGCATTATGATTCTGAACTTTACAACTAAGTAGTTATCAATTTTCAAAAAAAAAAAAAAATGATAAATTTATTTTTACTTGTTTTAAGTCTTATTACTGATCTTATACATCTCTGGAAATGGATATAAACTAAAATTTAAAATATATTAAATTTTAATTAATTTTAATGTACATATTTTCTATGATTGAAACAATGTATGTTAATTATGAATATAAATATAGTTACAAAATATATCGGCAAGGTCTATATGCTCTGAAATGAATATGGAAACATTGTATACTTGATGAAAATCAAAAAACTGGGCGGAAATACTTCCATAAAATGTAATGAAAATTACTACCTGGTACAGCGATCATAAGACTTAATGCGTCTGCAATTAATATAATGTAATTTATTGTATGATGGATTTAAGATTCTATTCTACAATAAAGACGAAGGTCATGATAGAAAAAAAAAACATGTGTATTAGTAATTTAGGGGGAAATGCCCTTGATACTATTAAATAGAGTGGTGACTTTTAAACTAACCGTTTTAAAGACAATGATTGGTAGTGGTTGATAGAGTTAACACATTGCTAACAGTGTGGTTTTTCATTTAAATTTTAGAGTATAATTTATAAAAAATACTAATAAATTTGCATAAAATTAAAATATTGTTAAATTTTTAATAAACAATGAAAATATGTTTTTTACTAGTACGTTTTATTTTGATAAGTTTTTAATTTTATGTAATAATAATTACACATATTATATTCATAACCATATCCATAATTATTTGCAAAAACAATATGTTTGATAACACGTTCCAGACTGTCTATAATAAACAAAAAAATTGTTCAATTATATTATAATAAATATAAAAATATTAGAATAATATTTCACCACGCCATTTATTCTAACGCTAGTCCTACCAGTGATTTACTTTAACATTTTTAATCTAATTTCAAATTTCTCTATTTCACATAAAATAATTATTTGTTACTTATTTCCTCCATTCGTAAAAGTTATATAAATCTATCCTCTCTTCTAGAAATCTTTCTCGATTCTCATTGCTTTACTCGAAATCACACCCTTTATGTATTCTCTCATATTCTGTCCTCTCTTTACAGACACGTCCATTCATATTATCTAGCGAACCAGACCAAAATATTGTCTTTGAAATATGTCCCCACTTTTAATAACACAAGAATTGGGTAGACACATGGCTGGATAAACAGTCATTGCAATGTTAGTTCGGCTGGTGTCACAAGCTTCATTCTCTAGGAATGAGGATTTCCTACATCATTTCCTCTTACCTATTGCCCCAGCGCACATGGGACTTACATGGGACAAAATAGGACTCCTCGTACTTTTTGAAAAAATATTTTACTGGCTGTCGACCTGACGTAACCTCATAATTGGCTTCTGTTATGACAGAAAAGGTACTGTGGGAGTATTCCCTTTCTTCAGGTGATACAAATATTAGTATATTATTAATTTCTTATATATCTTACTTCCGTGTAAATCATGATTATTTTTAGAAGCTGCCTTGATGTGTTTGTCTGTAGTATTTTTTTTTTGTTCGAATAATATGTAAAAAAATATTAAAATTAATAAAATGCTTATAAAGTTAGTCTATGATCTATATGTTAAACAGTATTACTGACTTGTAATGAAAACTTCCCTTCTATAGAGATCTATAAAAATTAGTTAAATATTATTTTTAGTTTTTTACTGTCTTGTGTAGGTAAGTATGAAAATAATATAAGTACTTAAATCTGCTGAAACATATACGGAACATATAAATGATAACAAAACGCAGAAAAGTTTCATTGTTACCTGCAAAAAATAACAAACATAAAATAATTTCATGTTTGTCACGACACCTCTCCCTATGATCCTTCCTCCTAAAGCGTTCTCTCCTGGAGAAATTGAACACTGTATTTCTAATTTTTCTAAATTTTAATGGACTGGTTTCGATTTAATAACCTCTGAAGTTGCTAAGAAATTACCAAAAAAGAAAAACACTAGTTCTCCTAACATATATCTCTAATGCAATTCTAAGGTTGTCGTACTTTTCTCTTGGATGGAAATTTTCTGTCGTAGTACTTATTCCTAAGCCCGGAAAACCTCTTAACGTTCCATCTTCTTACGGTCCTTTAAGTCTGCTTCCAATCTTTTCCAAAATTTTCGAAAAACTAATCCTTAAAAGACTCTACCCACTTTTTTCCTCAGCCAACATTATCCTAGACACCCAATTTGGCTTCCGTAGTCACCATTCGACAATTCATCAAATAAATAGACTAACTGACACAATAGCCGCCGCTTTAGAAAATAAACAATATGCACGACAGCTTTTTTAGATGTTGCCCAGGCGTTCGAACGGGTGTGGCACACAGGCCTCCTGTTCAAACTAAAAAAAAAACACTTCCACCGTACCTTTACCTGTTCATCCCTTTCGTCTACCTCAAAAATAGAAGCTGGAGTACCTCAAGAAGCCATTGCAGCTGCACTATTTTTTAATTTGTTTTCGGCAGATCAGCCTGTTTAACCAACACACAACAGTAGCAAAATATGCTGACAACAAAGTCATTATTTCCTCTCACAAAACCCCAGAAATAGCCCCTCACAATATCCAACCTCACCTCGAGTAACTTCAAAATTTAGAACAAAGAATGGAGGGTAAAAATCAATGATAGCAAATGAGTACAAGTCACATTTACCTTAAAAACAAAACCACTGCTCTTTATTTTAACATAACATCCAAATTTCCAACTACTCCGACGCAAAGTTGAAATTCTAAAACCCACCTTAACCACTGACTACGCATCATCAAAATATTCTTAAATCCATCGTCAAAATTAATGCTATAGACCAAACCGACCCTCTACAAACTACTAATAAAACCACTATGGACCTACTGCTTACAAATCTGGGGAACCGCAAAAAAATCAAATCTAAAGAAAATTCAAACCGTCCAAAATAAAACTCTCCGTCTCATTACTAAGGCTTCTTTCTATATAACCAACAAAACCTTACATCTTCACGTTAAAACAGTACCTGAATGTGCTACTCAATCATATGTCAGATATCGTAACTCTCTTTTCAACTATACTAAGATTCTGGCCAGGAACCTAGCATTACCTAGCATGCCAAGGAACCCTATTTAAAGACTGAAACGCAAGTGGTGCCGAGACCTACTACAACAGTAATAAAACGAAAAAAATGATAAAATTCCCGTAAAGTGTGGTCGATGGGCGGTTTCTTATTCAAGCCCAACACGCAGTTATAATCAAAATTATCATATATACTCATTGTACGTTATAATTGTATAGATTGTATATACCAAATAGAAAAAAATAATAAAAAAATATTAGTCACAGTCGCCTCCGGTACGTATGTGAGGTTTGTATGAGGTTTTGGTTTTACAGTAATGTTTATTATTTAAATAATTAATTTCTTTGACTTTACGATGTTTCTTAAAACAATACATTTCTTTTATTATATAACAAGGTTTGAGTGCTTGAAAGGTATTTTGTTGGATAAACATTTTAAGCATACTTACAACTTTTGAAGATTGCTGGAACAATTTAGTTAAATGGTTGAAATGATACAGCTGTCAAGCCAAATATCAACTTTATCTAACTTGTTATGCTAACTATTTTGAAGTGACTTTCGTCCGTGTTGTCTATAGTCTTATATTACGACCGAAATACTAAAACTGAAGTATATTTTGAGTAGTAGTAATTTGGGGCTTTACCGCCCATTTTATACAAATTATAGTTTAACCTTATACATTGTTTAGTATAGAAAATTATTTGTAACATTGAGTGTTTTACTAAATAAGAAGTGGAAGAAATAAATCATATATAAAAACATGTTTCAAATAAATGATAGTCATTTTAATTCAATTTAAACAGTATAATAATGGATGATTATAATAGTGAATGTGATGTTTTTTGTACATTAGACTATTTAGATTGTAAAACGCGTAACAAGACTTTTGATAAATGTAGTAATACACTACTTATTTCAAAGCGAGAACTTATGAGTGAAGCCGGTTTTATTTATATTGGTGATGGATCAAATGATGATGTCTCATGTTTTTATTGTCGTCAAGGTCTGAGATCTTGGGAGCCGAACGACGAACCTTGGATCGAGCATGCAAGATGGTCTCCAGATTGTGGTTATCTTCGGTTAGTGAAGGGTTCACCTCATTGATTTTAAAACCTATTAAATAAAAAAAAGATGTTAATTTATTACAACATTCTTACATTTAAATTAACTCTTTAAGTACTAGTAAAACCATGAATTCACATTGTAGACGCAGTGGCGTAGTAGGTTAAGGCGTGACTTTCTAGGATAAATTTAATAGGATGTGGATTGATAGCACTCATGCTAGGCTAGGTAGGTTGAGGTTGAGTCATACTTTAATTCATTCCGTCACTGCGTCTACACTTTTTGCATTTTTTTTTTCCAATTTAAAAATAAAATATAGCGGTAAGAAGAGGGGGGGGGGCTAATATAGTTAATCAAATGTTTTTTCAAGTGTTTAGTACATAGAGTTTCGTATAGTAGTACAGTCGATGTTAAAAGTATTATTCCAAGCACAATGCCTTGTATTAAATGTAGTCTACTAGAAGCTATTTATAATTTTATAATTAAATTAGACAAAATTGAACATTCAAATATAGAAAAATCTACATCTAAAACAAAACTTGAGGAATCTTTTGAAGAAGTTCTACACCAGACAAAAGAATTACAAAATGTAAAGAATCTAAAAATTGCACAACCCATTTGGTCAATTACACTGGAATAAGTAGAAGAGGGGGTATGTTTTATACTCAAGGTTTGTATATATATATACGTCATCTTTATGCTAAAGATATAAGTAGTTAATATAGAGTTAAGTTGTACGGACGTTTATGTGCATGCTAAAATTTTATTTAAACAAAATGGCAAATGTGTTATCTAAATCTACGTTCACCATTGACCCCAAAAGAACTATCTCGGTAGGTATTCTTTTAAATAAAAAATTATCTATTATTGTTTATTTAGATTATAAAAATAGTCAAGACCAGCTAATTCTTGATGAAAAACAGTGGCGTACTCTGATGGAATTTCAAATATTCAACAACATTGTGAACACAATTCAAAACAATGCAAAGCGAATACAATTAGGTTCAGATTTTAGTTGTACTACTAACCCTAAAACAGATTCAGTGATATTACGTAATAAAAATGAACGTATGAAATTGACGCGTATAAATTTGTTAACACTTCAGATGATTTCAAATTGTATTGAAGCACATATAACTGAACGCTTAAATAAGTTGGAGTTGTATCAAAAATCTTTTAACGATATATATTCAGCTATACTTAATGATGTTAATAATTTTTCAAGTGAATGTCGACGTATCGATTTCATAACGGCTTTTGTCGCAAACTATGATTTTCAAATGTTTGCAACGGATACAAATGCGCTATTCATCCATGAATTAAAAATTAATTATGATCAAATTATAAATTTGATTATGCGAGAACTTCTAGTAACTATAGTATAATTTCGAAAAGGAAAAAAAAATATATGTATTGAGAGAGGGAAAACGTATACAAGCTAATTATTTAAAAAAATATTTCACTCGTTTTAGTTTAGAAATAGCCGTCTTACAAGAAGGTATAATAATGCCTTCACATTTAGAATGCTGCTCCTGTCGAAAGTGTCGTTTGTTAAAATATATAATTATTGAAGCAACCAAAAATAGTGTTAAAATAATTAATCAAAACTTAGAAAATGATATTTCAGTATTAATTGTGAAAACGCCAGATGCTCGTCGATCCAAGCGCTTACAGAATAAAAAATTCAACAAAATCTGAGTGAACGAGGATTATTTTTAAAGTATTATTAATCTTATTAAATAATGTAATTGTATTGTGAATTTAAAAAAGTGTTTAATAAACATTCTATTAACTAATCAATTGTGTTATATATATATATATATTATATAATTACTCACATTTAAGTCTCATAGCGTAGAGTACACATGACAATAATTTCCAACAACTCTATCTGTTAACCTTTAAAAAAAAAAAAAATATATTGAAATATTTTTTTTATTTTACTAATTTAAAATCAGCTTACAGTGATCTCTAACGTTCATGTTTTCAACAATAATAAATACCTCCCTAAAAACCCTAAAAAAAAAAAACAGTATAATATTAATTCAACAATAATTAAAAAAATTAAACTAACTTACATATTAATCCGAATCAGTTAGCCAAATGGTTTCAATAGCTGGCTGATTAAGACGCAGAAGTGGAGGTAACACGTCTGCATCCGATTCATAAGTAACATCTGTTGATGACCCTTTTTTTTTTTAAAAAAAAAAAGAAGAAAATATTATTTTATTTCAAATAAAAAAAAAATTAACTTACATGAATCTGCTAGCGAAATTATTGATGGTTCTGATGTAGACCAATTTCCAATTCCATGTTCGTCATCTGTATCCGCTAAATAAAAAAAGTACGTTACTTATTTTGTAAAAAAAAAAAAATGTTAATATTCATTTATTAACCCATCGTTGGTAAACCTATATTGAAGAACACGATTGCTAAACTTTTTCCATTATTATTAATTACTAGTTAAACTCAGAACATTGAATCATTCAAAGAAATATGTATCTTTTTACTCACTACTAATTGATAATATGTTTTTTTTTTTGTAATTACTATTATTAGAAAATAAAAAAAAATAAAAAAACTATAAGTTTATTTTTTAAAAAAATTGTATAGTACAAAAAAAACCTTAAAATGTGCTCTGTGTGAAACGATGGGTTAAATAAAAAAAAAACTTACATTCCAACCACAGTGTTGATTTACTATGAAAAGACTTCACGTCGCTACTCGAGCTCCAAGGAGAATATGAAGTCGACGAGAGCGACCGTTGACGTAGGGGTGATAATGAAAAAAAACTAGAACTGGAATTAACACTTACCGATCGACTTCGCGATGCGGTAGTATCAGTCTCAAGAGATGTGTAAGAACCTATCCGTCGCCGTTGTGTTCGGATTTTACGCGGTCGCCGCCGTCGTTTGCAACGCCTCACCGTTCTAGCAGACGATGGATAGGAATCGCTGTCCATTTTGAACTAACAGCTCTTACTCATACACTAAGTTTGATAGTAAAAAAAAAAAATCCCACTTACTTTTTAGTGAAACAGTTTCGCCTTGTAATAAATATAATCATTTGAGTCATAGCAACCATTACACAAAAAAATTACTACGATTCATTGAACAAGACACACCGCGTCAATGAAACCCTGTGGTTAGTTGTATTCTATACGCTGCGTGATCTGTGTTTATGCGGTTTATGTGGGTAATGTTTGAGTCTAGTTAACTTTCTTCACACGTGAATAAACATTAATATTATTATTATTATATACCTTTACTATACTACTGAAAAAAAACAATGATTTCTAATTTAAAATATTTTATTGTAATACTATATAATCTTATCTTAACAGTATATCGTTACGTTAAAATCATACAATATTATTATTATAATGAAATGTTCTCCACCATTATTATTATTGTTATACTGCTGAAAAAAAAAAAAACAATGATTTCTAATTTATATTATACCTCTGCTATACTACTGAAAAAAACAATGGTATATAAGTAAAAAATATAACTCGTCTTAACAATATATCATTACGTTAATACCATACAATATTAATATTATTATTATGAAAAGAACCTCCACCATCATGTATTTAAAATAGTTGATATAGCTGTAATAATATCATTCCTTTGTCATTTTTATTGTGCGAGATTCATCTGATAAAAATTTTTCTCCCAATTCATCAAATAGATTTTTCAATAAATTGTTGATTTTAGAATTCGCCTTATTATTTGTAAGACCAATTTTAGCAGATCGGTTCACTTTTCGCCATCTATAAAAAAAATTAATTATGCTACGTTTTGGTACCAAAATAAAAAAAAAAATTCTCACCTCTCACTATAGGATAATCCTAATACATCATTTACTAAATATTCTTGTATAATTATATAAGACGTTGGACTCGGTGTTTTAATATTAATGACACATTTTTGATTATTGTCACGTAAAAGCAGCATCGATTCTTCATAGTTCGCTTCATCTAAAATAACTGCATCCTTTAACGCTTTTTGAAAAATTGTTGACTGAAAATACATAATTTTACTATTTAAAAAAAAAAAAACAAAAAAAGTATATAAATAAATAATACCGTTTTGTTGTTTTTTGACTGTTTTCTTATATTTTTGCTAACTACTTTGGGTTTCTTCACTTGTGGTGGATCAAACGAGCTTGATTCATCATTTCTCTGTGAGGTCTCCTAAAAAACATTTTTTATATCATTCATATTATTATTATTATTTAGTTAACTTACTGCGAAGAAGTCCTCGTCGGATGATTCCAGAATCGACATTTTGTTTGTAAAATAAATTCGAACTGTACTGTCACACAACTAATGTTAATATAACTCTGATGTTTATGTTTTTTCTCGTTTTATACCAATCTTGACAAATAAAAAATATCCCACTATAGTGCTAACGTTCAAATTTGCATGGTAAAAAATAACTTAAGCGAAAATATGTACGGAGTGGGATGATTCTGTTTTTTATAATACTATGTAGAGTGTCTTCGAAATAATAATATGAGAAAGATAATTAACCTTCTTTT